ATATATATATATATATACATATATATATATATATATATATATATATATATATATATATATATATATATATATATATATATATATATATATATATATATATATATATATATATATATATGTACCATGCATTAGTAAATACTCTATGTCTACCGTACACCATTTATTTCATGTGGGGAGTTCGTTATTTAGTGGTTACCTAAAATCACAAGATGAGATGGGACAGTTGGTCAAGTCCACCATAAAAATTTAATTCAAAATTCATTCTTACTACATTATTCACAAGGGTAAATTACAAACAACCCCCTGAGGTATGGTCAAATTACAAAAATCCCCCTCTTGTTTGGATAATTACATCTACCCCCATCAACTATGATTTTTTCTTACACCTCCACCCTTATGGTGCCAAATTCAACATAATCATCTAGATTCCGTGGAATGTGCTATAGTTTGTACTCGTTTGGTGTAAAAATACAGTTTATGATGCACCACAAACTGATATATACAAGCTAAAAAACACATATTATGATCATCTTGCTTCATAATGTAGAGTTCTAATAGGATAAAACGGGTACAAAAGTGATAATATTCCATATAATCTCGAAGATTCCACTAAATTTGAGGAGTTGAGGGGGTCGTTGTAATTATCCAACGAGAGGGGTGTTTTTGTAATTTGACCATACCTCAGGGGGATGTTTGTAATTTACCCTATTCACAATTATACTATTGGTGAGTTTATACACCAGATAGATCGATCTTTACCGTTCTTTTATACACAAATATACACACACATCCACATGGTGTGTGCGTTGTGTAGATTAAGAGTAGACCTTCACTTAATGTAAACCTCCAGCGCATGCAGCATAGAAATAACCGTGAAATCAGAAACCACTCGATTATAAATATCAATCAAATTATGTCATAATATCAAATATTTCTAAAATGAAAAGTTTCTAATTAATATAAAATAATTCCAATTAAAATCCATGAAAATAATTTAATTTATTCATTCAAAATAAAGTTTATAACTATAATCCTAAAAATCCAATGGACAAAAAACAAAAATATCTAAAGGATAGTAGTAGGCATCAACCAATAATGCAACTGCACCATCAAGGTTGTATTAATTGTCTGCTTCTGGATCATGTTATTTACAGACTCCCATTTCACATTTATTTATGTGGTCCTTCATATGTTTCCCCACTTTCTTATTATTATTCTTATTTATTTTTTTTTTATTTTTTTATTATTTTTTTTTTTTACCTTTTTTCGTCAAAATTATAACATAGATATAAAATTATAGTGAATTATGTACCCTTACAACGAATTAAATGGTAATAAATCATATTTTATGACATCACAAGTACAAAATATACTCTTCCTCAAAAAAAAAAAAAAAATACAAAATATACTTGTTGTATCAAAAGACGAAATCCTTCGCTAATAGAGTCTTCATCGCTGGCTCAATAGGTCTTAATGGAGGAATGTAAATTACGGTGACTCAACAACTCGTTAGGATAGCCGACAATGAGTCTAGTGCCCACAAGGAACCAACCTTCAGTGTAGTTGAAATTTTCATACTGCGATTGTCAGTACTCGATCCTATGACACTGCACCAATTTATCACCTCGGAACCACTTGACTTACACCTATGAAGGCCACAAAAATACTCTTACTTAGAGCGGAAATCGAACATGTTACAAAGGGTCAAGCTTAATCCAAAATTTTAACGTAATTCGGATAAAATCTGATTTTCAGAATAAATTTTTGAAAATATTAAAACGAAATCGAAAATACTACTTTTAATCTGATCCATTCGATTTTCATATGTAACTAAAGCCACGTAGATCCTATATTGGAAGACATCATTACTCTTGTGCTTTGAAATGGTCAACCTTCAACTTTCCAATTAGTGTATGGTCAAAGATGATAATAAGAATTCCTTTTCTTTTTTTTAATCTTATGTTAGACAATCCACATTTTGATAGAGGCGTGAAGATAGGCATTAAGTGAATTTAATTTGAGTAATTATTGTTTTAATCTTTAATGATTCATTGTTTGACCATTTTCTTTCTTTGCACCAACCATTGTTAGTTCTTCTTTATTGAATATGAGTCCTCGTTTGAATTTTTTTTTTTTATGTTTTCAAAATAATAAAATAATTTGCATTAATTAATTATTCTAGAGAGAATGAATTGCAACATATAAATCTCAACTACCCTTTGGGCATTCATGGTTGAGTTTGAAACTTCTTCATATATTCAATACCTATGTATTTAAATATGTTAAGGCTCAAAAATTCTATAAATTTAACAAATTAAAACTTATAAAATGTCACCATTAGAAAACATATAACAAAAGAACTATAAAGCTCTCGTGTTAGATATATGCTCGAACACGCTCGGTTGACAAGATTCGTATTACTCAAACTCACCGCAAAAGGTAAAATTCATTTAATATATTTCATTAATAAATTTACTGCAAGATCTAATCTAAGAAACACAATTTGTAATTTGCTATCCTCCTCGTACCTAGCTGACAAAGATTTACTTACGCGAAAATAATATATATATAAAACACTATGGATAACCAATCAAATCGAGTCAAATTAAACATTTCTTTAAAGGGATTTCACAGTTGCAAATGTTCGTTGGATAAACTATACTACTGTGAAATAACTCGTAAACTGCACGAGATATGTAAGTTACATTAAACTAGCCCCTTTCATTGAACTTGACCTAAATAATATAAATCAATAAAATCGAACCCAGATCATTAAACATCGCATTCTTCTTATTCCACCAACTAGACCACCATTATTGACGAGTTCGACACTAAGAAGTACACTGAAAATCAAGAGGTCCATAAACGTAAATCATATTTGCCAATATATGTACGACAAATTCAACCTATAAAAGTATTTAATTAAAATCGAATTAAAAACCGTAATCTTCTCATTCCACCGACTAGCTATATATGTCACACCATTGAGGGCCAAACTTCAACTTTTAATTTATATGCATCGAGCAAAGGAATTAACAAAAAAAACGAGGGACCTCTTTGCAATTACACTATATCTCAGGGTGCACGTCGATCTTTCCCCAGTTCATTGCAAATTGCCAGATTTTACTGAGTCAGTTAATTCTAGAAACCCCACTCGCAAACCCCAAGCGCGTGGTCACACACGCGCCCCAACCCAAAAAGCATTTCACTCCATCCTCATCATCACACCACCCCACAACGGACACCAGTCACTCCGAACCGTGCCACTCACGTGGACCCACCTACTCTCTCTCTCTATCTCTCTAAAACCATCTTCTCTCACGTCCAACTATACATACAAACCCTCGTGTATCTATATCCAATATATACAGATTCTTTTTTACCCCTTTTGATTTCCATTTGCGAAGCTAGTAAAAAAAAAAAATCCCCCTTGTCTTTATCTCAGGTACAATTTTCACTTTGATGGGTTCTTTAATTATTCATTCTTTCCTCCTGTTTTTCTTTTATGCATAAAGTCCTTAGCTTTCTGTGAAAGTTAAATTTTTTTTTTCTCACACTTTTGTTGACTTTTCCAAAAACCCATCTGCTTTTTTTTTGTATGTATTGTTTTGTGTTGCTGATTGGGCCATGTTAATGGCGTCTGGTTCGGCAGCCGTTAGTTGAATGGGGTTGGCCGATTTATCTTCTTTGTCCGAAAATTTCGACTTTTTTCAAAATCTTGAATGAAAGCTTTTCGTTTACAACTTTTGACTTGAAAGTTCATTTTTTTTTAATTGTTTTTTTTTCAGTTGAAATCGAAAAGCGCGTGCTTGGAACGGTTGATTTTTCCGGGGTTTAAATCAAAGGAATTGGGTTACTTCATTTGATTGGATTTCTTGCAGAATCAGTAGATGGTGCAGAGATCTTATCTGGGTTCTTTTCTGTAAGAAGAAATGGTAATAGAAAGTTTGGTAGTTGTGTAGCTTTTCTTGTATTCGAAATCTTGGTTGGTTCTTGTTGAATTTTGGGATTGGATATTTATTTATTCATTTTTGGAGGAATCTGGGATTTTCTTGAAAGATTTGTGGGGGAAAAAGAAAAGATGGAAAAGAATGGGGGAGAAGATTGGAGAGAGATGGTGAGAAAAATGCTTCCACCAGGTGCTCCGATCCCCGACGAAGATAAAATGGATTATTCAATAGCAATGGAGTACGTGGGCCCACCGGTTTCGTACGAGCTTCCGAGAGTGGAGCCACTCGAAATGAACGAAGATGAAATTCCAACTGCCGAACCAGTTCTGGATTCTACTAGAAGGTCAGCAGCTCGTGACACAGCACCTGTGATAGAGCCGATCCCGCTGCCCATGTCTCGTATTGCGAGGGTGATGAGCCCGCCCAATCAAAGTCCTAGAATGTCTGCAAGTTCCGAATCCGTCGTCTCTGTTTTGCAGAACGACGATTTCCGTTCGCCCTCGCCTTCGAATTCGGCTTCGCCCGGTTCGATGCACAGTCAGCAGCATCATAACGAAGGAAGGAGAGCCACTGTGGTGACCTTTAACACAGTTGATAACAGAGTGGTGGAAACTGAGAAACAAGTGTTGACCGAATTCGTGGGCGTCACTAAAGAAAAGAAGAAGAGGGAGAACTTACGAGTGTGCTATAGATGCGGAAAGGGCAAATGGGAAACGAAAGAATCTTGCCTCGTTTGCGATGCAAAGTACTGTAGTAACTGTGTGCTTAGAGCGATGGGTTCTATGCCAGAAGGGCGAAAGTGTGTGACTTGTATCGGAGAGCCGATCGACGAGGCAAAGCGGTCAAAGTTGGGGAAAAATTCGAGGCTTTTGTCGAGATTGCTTAGCCCGTTGGAAGTGAAACATATAATGAAGGCTGAAAAAGAATGCTCCGCGAATCAGCTTCGACCGGAGCAATTGATTGTGAATGGGTACCCTTTGAAACCGGAGGAAATGGCCGAGCTTTTTGGGTGCGTTTTGCCGCCTAGGAAATTGAAGCCGGGCTTGTATTGGTATGATAAAGCACTTTCTACCCGATGTGGCCGAGTACTTCTTGAGCAGGGTATATATATATATATATATATATATATATATATATATATATATATATATATATATATATATATATATATATATATATATATATATATAAAAATATATATACACACATATATAGATATCTCCAAGAGTGGATTTTTTTGACGGCGCGGAGGCGCGCGCGCGCGGTGTCTCCCCCGCGCGCCCCGGGTCGCTCGCCGTGGCGCTCTCGCGCGCGCGCGTGCGTCCACCCCCACGTAAGTGTGTGTTTTTTATTCTCCTGTGTTTTGTGCTGCACGGGCGGGTGAAATATCGAGCAACGAGCACGAGCCCTCGGAGCGAGATACACTTCACGCGGAGGGGGTGACTCGGGGCAGTGGAGTGGCTTTTATGGAGTTCTCCATGGATGATCGTAGCCCGATGTCGGAACCTACACTGAGAATTTGGATGCTGCGCCTTCGCCTCTCACCAAGTAATTATTAATTGTTTTCGTTATTCTCGAGAATTTTCGTGAGCTAAATTATCTTTAATAAATCTTGGGTTATCTTGCCAACGGAAACGAGGCCTGATAAGACTGTATGTTGAGGGTGGAAATTGGAACGCAATTTCCGGATTTCGCCAATTCCGATCCGATAATTTCCGATTTTGGTTTAATATTTTTCATTCCAAATTCTAAAAGTTCCGATTTTTTATTTTTGCGACTTTTTTCTTCTTTCGAATGGAATTGGAATACGTATTAGATTCCAATGTCCGATCTGATATTAATTTTTGAAACTATTTCCAAAAATTCCGATTGTTTTCCACTGGCTGATTTTTCCACACATGTCGATTCCAATTTGATCCGTCCGATTTCGACCCCTAGTCGAGATCGTAAGCTAATTCGCTTGAATCGCGCCTCTCTTTAATAAACTCACTTTCCCTGAAAATTATTCGCAGGTACCAACTAATTCGAGTAAACGCAAAGGGAATGAACGAGGGATGCAAGTGGGTGGAAATGTTCGAAGACGTACGAGCGGTAGTCTTCACAGTCGCCCTATCCGACTACGACCAAATCGAGAACAATAGCAACAAAATGATCCAAAGCCGAGACCTTTTCGAGTCGATGACAAGGCACCCGTGTTTCAGAGACACGCCCTTCTTACTAATCCTAAACAAGTACGATGTTTTCGAGGAGAAGATCAACCGTTGCCCGATCGGCTCGTGCGATTGGTTCACCGATTTCAGCCCCGTCAGGCCCCACCACAACAACCAGTCGCTTGCGCAGCAAGCCTACTTTTACGTGGCTATGAAGTTTAAGGACCTTTACGCTTCGATCACGGGGCGGAAGTTGTTCGTGTGGCAAACTAGGGCTAGGGAGGGGCCCACGGTTGACGAGGCGTTTAAGTACGCTAGGGAGGTTGTGAGGTGGGATGACGAGAAGGAGGAGAATTACTACGGTGGTGCGGAGGATTCATTTTATAGTACGACGGACGTGAGTTCGTCTCCGTTTATCCAGCAAGGGTGAGGGGTAGAAACGTAATTCTTGATTCTTGATTAATTGAAGTTGCCGTTGTACATAAGACGGGCGGAGGAGGAGACGAAATAAATAATTATTATTTTTTCCTTCTGGATTTTTTTTAATGTCGAAAAATGAGTTTTTTTCGTTTTTTTTTTTTTTTTTTTCGACTGTTGGAAAATTGTGATTGTTGTGAGTTGTGACATTATGGTATATATATTGGTGACCGAATGTAAGAATGTTTTTCTTTTTTTTTGGTTTTTGGCCTTTTGAGTAGTCTTGCTATTACATTTGTGTTATTTGTTATTTAGTTGTGTATAAATATTAAATGTATAATTAATATATAATTGCAATAATAGGGGATTGCTGAATGCTATTTTTTATTTTATTTTGTTTCTTCATTTGGCAATCTGATATTTTTTCTTGGTTGTGACAGTCTTATAATGTTCTATATTCAAAACATGTATAATTGTAACAATTTGGATCCGGTTGCATGGATTCGATCACATTCGGTTTGATCCACATGGATTTAAATTTAATTAGAAATAAACTGGACCAATTAAATTGACAATTTTTTAAAAATTGGATTCAGTTCTCTCTCTCTCTCTCTCTTATATTGCAATTGATTGCATAACAACAAGGAGATGTCAAACAATATCTTCTGCTTTCGTCACGGCTAGAACAAGTACACAATGAACAAATCGATGTAAGAGGTGTAGTGAAAGCAACCGAGCAAGTAGCACGAAAGTCGAAACTATAATCGAAGCCGAAACCGAAACCCGAAACCGAAATGAAATTTGATTACAAGAGGAAAGCAAAAGGAGCCTAAATATCCATGTCAGCACAATCAAGTGGGGCCCACTCCGCCACCGCTACCAAACTTTCCGTCTCCTTTTTACCCCTCCCTCTGTTTTTCATTTAATTATTTCCCAACTCCCACATTCACAATTTCTCTCTCTCTCTCCTCTCTCTCTCTCTCTCTCCGATTCTGCAAAGTAAGCTTTCTACTCTTCGGTAATCTCCACTCTTTCAATACAATCATTTGTTTTTTTTTGTTAATTCGTTTTCGCAATTGTGTGATGTGAATCTCCACGCAAAATTGAAGTACTTAGTCGGAGTGATTTGCTATCTTAAAATCGAGAATCGTCGTATCAATAAATTGAAAAAGAGGTTGTGTTTTTAATTTAATTTTATTTGCATTTTGGTCGGGATCGGTTTGTGTGATCATAAGTCTAAGGTGTCTAGCTCGCCGATTTTTATGCCCTAAACGTAGCCCCTGAATATTGCAGTGACGTGGAAAATATGTCTTCTATTTTTTACATGATCAAACTTAATTGTAGAGTTGCTATATTAGTAGGTTTGCGGCATGATTTTTGTAGGTATTGTCGCAATGTCTGATGAGTGTGTGATCCGTATTTTGCTGTTTCCGAATCGAAAGTCTTAGTTCGTCTCTATTTCATTTTCTTCCGATTTTCCGCTGGGCAGTTTTTTCATGTGTTTTGTTTTTATGAGGAAAAGCAATTCGGCTCAATAAATGGCGATTCATGTGTTCATTTATTTGACATGTTATAAAATTGTAGTGGTTTTCCCTATCACCGAACTTGTGGTCGGTGTTTTTGCTTTTATCTTCTTTTTGGAGAAAGTCGAAATTCAATTGGTTCGAATTAATTCATCTTGATAAAATCTGGTTAGAACTAGCTGAATGATGGTCTATTTGAAAAGGCTTTGATACTGTGTATACTCTTGCAGGGCTCTCACGTATTATCTATTTGTATAGGGAGGCCGCTCCAGTAGGAGCTTCATTAACAGTGATCGAGCAACTTTGTTTTCACGTTCGGAATTTGGAGATCCGTGAAGTTTCTCACAGCTATTCAACATAATCATTACCAACGAGATGTCATATTTATGCTGCTCTCAAATAATTTTGATTGCCATATATTCTTATCCCCCCCACTGAAAGAGTTCATTTCATCTGGTTATTTTGATTAGTGACTGCATTGACAAAAATTGGTTAGCGGAGGTATTCCGACATGTCTAGTTTTGTCAAAAGTAAGAATGCGTCGAAAAGTCTGTCAACTTCGTCTGGCCCTAAATCTCATGCACGTCAGCCTTTAATATCATTAGCATCGAATAAGTGGGGAATTGGAAAGGGAGCTGGTGGTCAGGTGGTGTTGTTTCTTATAAAAACTGTTGCATTGGAGGCTGTACGGAGATTTTCAAGGGCCAAGTGTCCGGTTCTATGGACTGGGCTGCAAGGTTTGCAAGTTCTTTGCTACCCCCCACTGAAATGGATTCAGCGCTGGAATTGTTTCGGGTTCTTGGTTAAAGGAATGCAGGTAGGTTCTTAACTGAAAGGTTTTTGCTATCTTTTGAATGGCTGAACCCGGCATGCTATTAACTAACCCCGAACACCCTACCCCCACCCCCAGGCCTACCCCCAAAACCTAAAGTTACAGTGTTGTGCCAATTTATGAGAACAATGCAAGTAATAGTTCCGAAAATTGAAATTCATGAGACAAAATGAGGAGATAATATTAGTTACAAAATGCTTAAATGTGTACTGTAGCTTCGTGGTAAAGTATTTTTTCGAATTTTTTAAGAGTTTATTATGGTATTGAATGTTATCTTGACTTCACATTTTGATTCTAATGTGACTATAGATGATATCCCGTCCGCTATTGGTTCTCTCGGTTGTGAATGCCTTCACTGATCCTTCAGACTGCAGTAATTTTTTCTTCGATGATGACGATAATCCTCCTAGTGTTGCTGACACTCAAGTGGATTCAGAATCTTTCACAAGATCCCCATCTTTAGAGTCTAATCTGAACATGAGGTACGCGAACTACTATATTTTTCATGCGATACATCCATTAGCATAACGATCTGTATAGTGTCTGCTTATTTTGCCTCTAGAGACATTCGCACGTTTGGGAGATAAAATGTATCTGCGAAAATAGAAGACCGTCGGTGCAGATAACTAAAAGGAGTTATTTGGGAAAAAATTACTTAACTAATGCATAACTCGAAGAATATGAAATCTTGGCTCTTGTATTTGCCATTTGGTCATCTAAGATGTAAACATTTGTTTGTGGCATAGATTGTGTTTTAATTCATACTAGTCTCTACTTTGTGCTTAACACATTTCTTCCATATTCTATGTTATGTGATCTTTTTTTTTTCTTTTTTTCGGCTAAGTTGGATAAGGTTGTAATATTACGGTTGTAATCCTATGCTAAGTTAAAATGGTTTCAACTAATAATTTTTATCTGTATTTAAGATAGAAACGAGAACTTATAAAGTTCTGATTCGGTCACCTGGGATACACAAGAAACAATTACTGAAAAATGGCAGAGGCTGTTCTTAAGAGTTCTTTCTCTGGCTCTATTCATCTCTTTCTCTTTCACTGTACAGCGTTGGTGATGAAAATCCTCAAGGCCTTTTGTCTACAGACTGGATGAACAACCTTTGTGAAGAGCTGGGAAATCAGGGTATTACTTTGCATGAAAGGTGCATTATATAACTCATACTTTTTCTTCTCTTTTGCTAATTTCTGGCATAAGTCATCTAATACATTTATGCGTCTTTCGCTGTTCTTTATCTCATGGAGCATGAAGATTGACGTGGTCATGTTTTGACAGGTTTAACAAAGAGGAACTCCATAGATTTTATGAAGCGGCAAATGGTGATCCATCCAGCTTGCTATCATCTGTAAAGAAAACAATACGTTGGAGGGAAACTTACAGAATTCTCTCTGGAGAGGAACTTGAGATGTGGTCAAATATGGTCTTCTGGCATGGATTAGATGTGAAGAATCGACCCTGTCTTATTGTCCGTCTTGGCCTGGCTTGCACCAGCTTGCCATCTCATGATAGACCTCGCTTTGCTCAGGCAGTTGGTAAGCTTTCCAGCTACTAAATTAAGTAGCAGAGTAGTCCCTTAAGCAACTATAGAAGAATGCATGTTAATTTGTTAACGAGACATCAGACAACAATAGACATTGTTGTAAAAACGAACTGTTCATTCCATAACTTATCTTAATTGCCCCGTTTATTTTTTAGTGAAGACATGCGTAAGATACTTGCTAATCTCGTAAATATTTGGAATTGAAGTATCTCAGGTGGAGCATGGTGTCCTGCATTTGGTGGATGGAGAAAATCATCAAATATCTGTTTTACTGGATTGTCAAGGGTTGTCTTCCTTGAAATTTCCCATGCAGACGATGAAATATTGTTGTAATCTCTTGCAAGATCACTTCCCTAATGTTTTGGGGAGCTTAGTTGTCATACGGCTTCCTTCAGTTGTTCGTGTTATTGCTCAAACACTTATACAAGTAAGCTTCTGACTCAATCCTTAGAAAGTAGCACAGTTTATAGGCTAAAATGTAAATTACAAAAACCACACCTCTGACATGTATCCTACTTACCACAAAAAGATCCGGCCAATATTTGAAATGACAAGTAGCCCCTTAACAGTTGTCCTCATTTTATACACTGCTCGCAATTTGCGAAGTAAACGCGAATGTCAAGGGGAGTACTGGTGTTACACTACTGAAATGCTGAATGCCGTATCAATTTTATTGGTACCATTCCGACTTCAAATGTGATGTTAACCCTTTTTCGTTCTGAATTGGGCAAAACTCAAAACACAAAATTTGTAGTCTAAGTTAGCTTTCTAATTCAACTTGAGTAGGCTAGACTGGATGTCGTGTGAGGGAGTTATGCATGAACGAGTTACAGTCTGGATCTGGAAAAACTCAAAACAGCAAAGTTGTAGCCAGTGTTCATTCATTCATCCATAACTCGCTCACTTGACATCCAATCCAGCTGATTCAAGTTGGATTAGAAATCCAACTCAAACGACTACAAATTTAGTGCTCTGAGTTTTGCCAAATTCGGACTGAAAAAGGGTGAAAATAATATTTTAAGTTGAAATGATACCAATAAAATTGAAACAACATTTAGCACAGCACATCCCCACTTAATTGTTCCGTGTGGATAACCTGTGATTTGACTTTGTTTGACCGCAGGTTCTGAAACCAGCCACCAAGAAGAAGCTAAGAATCGAAGGTGGGGCGTATCAAAAAGTTATCTCCGAGTGTTTTCAAACACTTCCATCGTATCTCGGTGGAGAATGCACTTGTACAAGATGTACCAAATTTGACACCGACAGTTTGCCGCAAATTTTGGATAGTCCGACCAGCACTAGAGAGTCATCGGTTTCAGACATAGTCGTGGCTGAGGATTTCCCATCAGTGCCAACTACTCTTCAGTATGATGATGTGAACACAGACGGTTACTTCAGTCGAGCATTAAGGACTGCTGTTATAGGCATTCTCATTGTCTGGGTATTGATTGCTTTTCTTGAGGGATTATACGATCCCGAAAGCCGTCCGACTCTACACATGTGATGCATGAGAACTGTTTTTCTTCATCTCTGCGGTGGTGATATTTTCTCAAGAAAGCCTGGGGCATCATGCATCAAGGTAATAATAATATTTTTATACTTGGTAACTATACATGTTTTGTTGATTCGGTCAAGTATTTGAAAGACGTATAATGGAACAGTAAACTTCTCCTTCAGCCTATGTTGTATTTGTCCATCTTGCTAGAAGATATATGATGCAGTTGCAGCTATATATTATGGTGTTTAATAGTGAAATGTGTATGGTCTTTTGAATTAATTTATATATTAAGGGCAGGCATGCCCGATGTTCCTAAATTTTGTTAGTTTCCGGTCAGTTTTTCTCTATTATTCTTCAAGCTCTTCCAAGAAATTACTGTGTGCACGAATTTTTTGTTTATAAACACAGTGAATTGAACATATATGCCATATTATAATTCAGGGGTCCGTTAAAAAAAAGAAGGAAAAAAAGCACTCTTTAAACTGCAGAAGCACAAATGTTCGTTAACCAACGGATTCAAACTACTATTTGTTGAAGGAGATAACAGCGATCTGAATCGGTAAATCGTCTAACAATGCATAACAAGAGGAATATGTATGTATATAAAACAACTATTCACTTGTTACCAGTCGGATCCATAAAATTACGTAACCAAGATCGTTTTACACGACCAAACTGACAAGACCAACTATCCTCTCCTGTCAGTTGCTGCTCAACTCCATGCGAAGCATGTAATTTAAATGTAAGGTAATTCATTTTCACAGCAGCTTTTCTTACTGGAATCCTTTGATCAATATTGAAGCACAAATCACAGTTAACAAGAATATCCAAAATACTCGGCTCAATGAAATAATACGCGAAAAAAGAAATGGGTATTACAAGTATGGTGTACGGGAATTGAAAATATAACAAGAGAGAACCCCCCATACACAGTGGTCCAAGAAACATGGATTTTAGTTTTCTCTCTTACTACATAGAGTAACACATTTTGTCCTCAAAACGTTATATGAAGAAGAAATTGGAATTGGATAAGAGCTAAAATTAAGCTGCAACTAGATCAGGTGTTTCAGCCTCGACGGATAACAAAGCAGTGTGTACTTTATCAACCCAATTGTCCAGCCTGTCACGCAACGACTTGATCTGAGGAATTCCTAAAACCCTAGGTTGCACCCACGACACGTAAACAGTTCCCTCCACTTGGTCAATGATTCCCTCTATCAGATGTACCTGCAAATCCATTCAACCAATCAACTTCTGCAAGCCTGCCTATATATATATATATATATATATATATATATATATATATATATATATATGTGTGTGTGTGTGTGTGTGTGTGTGTGTGTGTGTATTGTGCACTTACTGAAAGGCTCTTCATAAGAAGGTACTCCACGTCTTCTACAGTAAGTTTTGTTCGTTCAGAAATGATACTCAATGGTATAGTTCTTTCATCTGATGGTCGGCTGCAAGTAAATAAAATAAATAAATATCTCAATGGAAAAATATGTAATAAAAGGCTGCTCACTGTTGTAAGAACTTCACAATTTTCTTAATATTCACCTGAATATAATCTCCATCAAGCAGAGAATGTTTATCTTCTCCAGAAGCCTTTTCTCATTCTGGACTAGAGCCGGTTGAGTGCTCAGAGCAGCTCCGTGTACACGGCATAGTTCTTGATAACGAACTAAATCTCCAGAATTAAATGCTTCAAGAATGTAGTAAAGCCACTCAACTTTAGTCCCCAGAAGACTTTTAATCTGCAGAAATTGCAATACAAAGAAAACATCAGCTTGGAGACTATCATTCGACAAGTATTTTAAATGTAAGACGAAAAAAAGATTTTCAAAGCTTCAATCTCTCAGCCATCTTAATAAATAATTGTGCTAGGTACCATTATTTACATGGCTAAGGTTGTAAAACATCATCTCTACTGCTGCTATTTGTCCACGTTATTAACTTTGCCTGTCACATAATCATTACCCTGAATCTTCAAATTCTTAGCAAGTAATGCCAGTTATAAATCTTCTATTTCAATACAATTTTTCGTACTTAATCTCAACTACCCTTGCTTCTTCCAGACATGGTTAGGACACGATTTTGGAGGTTAGTCCTCAATGTCCTCTCAATCTCAAACCCTTTTTTTAATTATTATTATTACAAGACCAGTAGGTCCATCAGTAAATACAACAGCATTAACCAATCGATCCAATAAGATAGATATCCACATAAAATATCAATAGAATATTGCCCATAACTAACTAAACATGTATTTAAAGCTTAGTCTATTCATAAAATGAGTATCAGCAATGGGAAATTCAGAACAGTTTGCATAGAATAACTTACAATCGGATGGGCAAGAAGTTCGCCAAAGTTGTAGATGTTCTCCCCCAACAAGGCTGAGAGAGATAAATCAAATGCCAAATCCTAATAAACAATAGAAAAGAGTTAATTCATATTGTAAAGACAGTAACAATAAAAACACTAGACCTGAATTTTTTTCATAAGATGATTTTGTTGATCTATGGTGGCTCTGATAAGATAAGCAAAGCACAAATGACACTCTAACCGTAATTAGAACAGAAATCGTGTGATGCTCGAATGATGACAATAAAAACATCTATTTAACGATAAACATAAATTTACCTGCATCATCTATTTAACAATAAAAATAAGTGATTGAATCAGTAAGCATCATAAAAATGAAGAAATTTCATCCTTTATATACGGACTTATTCTTAATTGTCAGTATATTCTATACATAATTTCAAGATATTAAGGAAAAACAAAAACTACGACAGGTATCGACTAATATCAAGCAAAAAATCTCAGAAATACATGATCTTAGATTCTAGAATGCAGACAGATTGAACATTTACAGGAGACAACGTACACGTTGCAAGAAAGATAGTCTTGGCTAGCACATATGTATTTACATTCTTCCACTACCCTAATTTCTTCCTCATTATGTCTTTCTGACGTAATTGACGAATATGTCTTATCTCTGTTTAGGCTCAAAGTAAGCTTAGTTCTATAAAGTCTTCAAAAGAAACCAATATCTTAAACATTCAACACAAGTTACACCTAATTAACGACACAAACACTTTTAGCAATCTTCATGTTATTTCATGCATGAGTCCTTAATATTTTTTGATGGTGATCAAGTTGGATAACCAAACTAATTCCAGCGAAAACTATTTGTCGGTATTCTATACCATCAACCATGTTCTCACACGAACGGTTTCAGGCTGCTATAAAAAGACAAATTGGAACCACCACAAAAGAAGCCACAGTTTTCTTCTGATCAGAAAAATTCTTCACATTGTTAATCACCAAAACAGATTAAAAAATGGCATACCAGCTTAAACGAGTCTGATAGAGACTCTACTGAAGTGTAAGCTAGATAAAGGAGAGCACTTCTATAGAAATCTGCGAATTCTTGACGGGTTTTATGATATTGAGATGAAACCCAGTAGTAGTTGGCATACACAGATGGATCAATGTCAGTCATACTGTCGAGGGTACTCTTTCCCTCATCTAGAAGTTTCTTGCATTCCTTTTGATCTCCCTGCTCAAGCTTAAATACACCAATCTGCATTTTGATATAAAGTATCGGCTCCTCTATGCGTGCTTCTCTGGTGTTACGAAGCTTTTCTATCACTTCTTCAAGATAAGCTATGGCAGCCACTTTCTCCGAATACTGCCTAGAAACTATGACAGCAAAATGTGCAAGCTTGAGAAGATTGATTTTTGTCTCAAAATCAGTTATGAAATTGTGGTAGAGCTGGATTAGAGCATCCCCAGCCTGATCAGAATAACAAACAGAGGAATTAGATACAATCTTGGAAAAGATAAGTGAAAGGGCTAAGAAAAGGAAAAGAACGAGAAGAAATTAAAAGAAATGTCAAATCGATAAACTTCTCCATAAGAGGAGACCAACTGTTAATCTGCTAGCCATCCATTCACAGGTACTTAAGCCCAATCACTAACAGAGAGAACAAAAACATGAGAAATATGTAGTATCTTACGCAAAATAAATATACTTTTCAGTTCTTCCAACTATCTCCTAGTATTAACTTTGAAAAGTTCTCGCTTTCAGATATGATTTTTTCATTTGTAATCTCTCCACAAGAGTTTATACAACTATCAACTTTCCATCTATTTGTCTTGGCCAATACCAGCTTCACAGCTACGAGGTATTATTGCCTTAAGATTTTTCAGTTCGTATGTAGTTTCCGGCACCTCTTGCAAGCCTCAAAAACAACTCTCACGAGCTCGAAATAAATCATGAACTCTCATCTAAGCTTGACAAATTAATTATAACAAAGGAACATTGACATGTTTGTTCATCCAATAAGACTTCACCCTCGGACCAATCACGACTCACTTATGTATACATATACATATATACACACATACATACACATATATGTAAAACCCAATCCCATGAAGAAACTAAAGATAGCAAAACCCTAATACTCGAAATCGCTGACGAAGGGTATAAAACCCAACCCCCATTCCAACACCCCAAAGTCAAAACCCAAGTTTCCCGAAATCAAGCAAACTCCCTAACGTCTACAAATCAGAAATGAAAAGCAAAACACAAAATCCCCAAATCATACAATTCAACTGAACAAAAAGGGGAAAACAGTCCGTAACAAAATCCAAAAGTAAATTCACATGCAGAGAAGATATATGAACCTGAAATACAGCTAGGGCAGCGAATTGTTCGAGCTTGAGCGTGAGCTGGTGCCATAGCTTCCTCTGGTACAGATCTGAAAGCGTAGTGTACCACTCGGAAAGCTCCGGGTGCGCATTCCGCAGGGTCTCCAAATACTGAAGCGCCGCCATCGATTATTCCCTCCGCCGTCCAACAAACACGACAAACGGTGCTCACCGGTGAGGAATTCTAGAGAGAGAGAGGGAGAAGAGAGAGAGAGAGAGAGAGGAAGAGGATGGAGATTTGTATCTATAGTGTATATTTTAAATGTATACCTTCTCGAATTTTCACTATGTTACATTTGAGTTTTCTTTTCGCCAAAGAAAGGAATAAATGGGCCCGATAATGGGCCCGGCCCAACAATCAAAATACTAATTTTCAAAATAAAATGCAATTTGGATTAAATTTTAAATATTAGAATAAAATAAATCATTTTGTGTGATTTTTTGTTCAAATGGATTGAAATTACTTTGATCAAATTATAGTGCATTTCTTATTTATATTTGTCTCCAAGTCATTTGGAAAAATAAAAATGTTAAAATAAAACAAAACCCGTTTTCAAAGCCATATTGACCGAAAGCTTCGATTTTTTTCGAAAAATAAAAGCACAAAATAAGGAATATTCTCATTAAATCAAGAACATGAATCCATACCACAAACTTATATATATAATGTCAAAAATAAACAAGGCTACAAAATGCAGAACCATAGACAAACTTTACACAAGTGTATATAATACACACACTCAAATATATATATATATATATATATATATATATATATATGAGGAGTTGCTTGAATGGTGTGATCAGGTGTTGAAGCTTACACCAGAAGCATTAACCTCTTCGAGCAATTTAAGGATGTTATGTTCGGGTGCACTGACAGAAGGCAAAATAACTCGGTTTTGGGCCCGAGCTTTCGTTCGAGGAGTCTGGGGTTCGACGACGGGGGTTTGCTCTTCCGCTTGCATGACCACCGTACTATCTGCAGGCCTCCTTTGCGCCCCTGAAGATACTCTTTCTTTCCATATTCTTCCATCCTTATCGAATCAAGCGAACCAAAATTCAGATAAAAAAAAATATACTAAATCGGTAATATTCAGTAACATAATAAATAGATAAACACACAAGTATAACTGTATAAGACATTCTTTCGTACAAAAAATAATGGATCACAACAATATATATACAGTAGAACCTCGATAAATTAATAACCTCGCTTAAATAATAATTTCTTCTGGTCTCGACTCGATGAAAACGTACTAAATTTTTTAGTGCAACAATTTAATATTTTGCGAAATCAATAGAATTTTGCTAGTCCCGACTGTATTAATTTATAGAGGTTTAACTGTGTATAAGAAAAAAATATTATTGTATGACGATGAATGAGTAAAATCCGGTGCGAGCTGCACTAAAATCGAGCCGTAAAAAAAAAACTTTCGACTTTGGGATTTTTCAATTAACTTTACAATGAAGAAGATTAAAATATCGGGGAATCTGTTTAGTCTCTCGATCGATATCTCACAAACTTACGTATAACAAGATTTCTATAGAGTTGAAAATAAAATGATATAATATGATTAGATTAAAACTTACGTTAAGAATGGAAGGCTCGGGTAAAGGACACTGGATAGGCTGATCGAAGTCGAGTGGCTCGGTGGGGTATTCGACCGGTTTGAACTCGACTGCGATTTCGTTCCCATGTGTTGCAGGTGCTGCTATGGCGGTGGTGGTGGTGGTACTAGTGTTTGTCGAATCCGAAGTAGGAGGCAATGTTTCCCTCTCATCCTTTACATCAAGAAAAACGCAACATAAGCGATTATCAAGAATCCCCTTTTACTACTTCTTGATCACAGAATACAACAAAAAAGCGAAGGAATTCCGTAAAATTATCGATAAATGTAGTTCGATTTAGCCAATCAAGAAACACACACACACACACACACACACACACACACACACACTCAACTTGATCTAATATGGATATCCATGTCATGTATTTATTAGACTACCAATTTCACTTGAAATAACAAACAAATCAACAAATCCAAAGAATTAATTTCACAATAATTAATATACAGAAACAAACAAAAAAACCCTTATTCAGGAACCAATTTGAAGAAGTGAAAAAATTAGGTATAGGGAAAAAGGGGGAGATGGGGCGGCTTACAATAGCACTTTGAGTGCGACGATGACTACCCCTCACGGAAAATCTTGAGAAAATTCCCACCATTTTTCAGTCCCCAACCAAAAAGAAAGAAAAAGAACCCTTTTCACAGTTTCTCTCTCTAGAATTGAGGGGGAGAGAGAGAGAGAGAGAGATTTTGATTATGTGGGGGTGGAAGATAAGCTTAAAACCTGGGTTGTAGTTTGGTTGAGTGTCGGGATTCCATTTGTATAATTAAAGTTTAGGCAACTGTATTATTATTTATTAGGTATCATCGGTACTGTTGTATATAGATTTTCTACTACTATTGGTAATTCTTGAACGAACCATGGAAAGAAGATGAAATGACCTAAAAACCCAATCTTGCTAGGGAAATTACGCGCGGTAACTCATCAACTATCAAACAAATGGAATCTTCTACGTATTCTCCGCCTTACGCTATTTGAGCCCCATATTTTGAAATAAGATAATCATAAGATGTGTCTTTTAGCTTATAAATATCAGATTATGGTATATCAGTAACTATATTTTTGTACAAAACGAATATAAACTAAAGAACATTCCATAAAATGTAGATGATTTCGTTGATCTGATACGATAAGGATGGACGTGAGTATAAACTAAATAACATTCCATAAAATGTAGAAGATTTCGTTGATCTGATACGATAAAGATGGACGTGTAAAAAAAATTCATAGTTGAGGAGTGTCTATAATTACCCAAATAGAAGAGGTATTTACGTAATTTGACATTACATCAGGGCCGTAATTTACCCTAGTAATAATAATACTTGAGGAATAGAAGTTGCCTGTTGCCATGTGCATTATTATCGTATGTAAGAAGACGACGACTTTTATTAGGTTTGACTGTGACCACAACATTTAAAATTGTATTTCACAAAAAAAAAAAAAAAAAAAAAAAAAAATTAGCATCTACAAAATCGAAATAGGAAAAGAAAAGACTTCAAAGAACATATCATAAATCAAATCTTGATTTCATAGTTTAAAAACAAATACAGTGGAGGAAAACAAAAACGAGAAAGAAAAACAAAAGGCCACATTTTAAACAATATTCATAGTTGTGCTTACAATCTCTTTCACAGCAGCCACAAATAAATATAAATTCTGCCAGAAAGACACCCTTGTAATAAATTAAAAAAAACATAGATCTTCCTCTATATTATAGAAAAGCTACCTGCAATTAATCATTGTCCTTTGCCCCGGTTTTACTACTAAATCTGCAAAGATCTTAACTCGTAAATGTTCGGTGTAAATAAATTGCTCAAGCATTGCTTTCCTGAAACAACCCTTGAAATCAATCTTCGTCGTCAGAATTATCGAACTTAATTTTTGTGGCTTTGGGAGCATTAACATCAATTTCTTTGAAATGTGCACCGTATAACTTGGATTCCTGCACAAAGTTGATAACCAGAAGAGTAATTACAACATTGCCCCTATTAAACGTATTTTGATCACTTGATGAAGGAATATGGCTTACTTTCTTCTTGACGTGAGTCCCGAATTTCGTTAATGATTCAGGTACGACCTGATTAGCTTCCCTAAGAACGTTTACCAACTCACCAGCAAGTCCCTGGGAAATAATTAACGACAAACGATTCTGAATTTCTGATGTATAAAATAAATAATGAAATTTAAAGAAGAAAAACGAACATTTACTACTCTGAGAATTGAACATACCTTGTTTTCTTTGGTAAAGAAAGTGTGAGCAACTCCCTTCTTACCAGCTCTACCAGTTCGACCGATTCTGTGAACGTAATCCTCTGTTGTGAGAGGGAAACTATAATTTATGACAACTTCAACATCAGGAATATCCAATCCTCGAGCAGCAACATCAGTTGCTATCTGCATAAACACACGAGCTAGCCTTCATGAAATTGTCAACAAAGGTTGAAGAATGTTCATCAATAAATTAAAGCTGCAAGCATAAGCCTCTCCAAAATGACAGCCTATTTCTTTACCTTGAAATTAGCATTATACGTACAATAAGTAAAAACAACTATGAAACAGTTCATGTGTGTGTGTGTGAGAGAGAGACATTTGATTATTGTATCCCGCAAATGGGAAAGTAGAATGAGTTGCCTAATAAAGATAAGCATACAAAGTAGCAAAGAGGCGAATGGAAGGACTGTCCTAAAAATAAATTAATAGACCAGGTACTGAGGCGACAAAGGGAGACCAACAGATAGTTATGGCACCACAATGGTCAAATTTACATAGGAACAGTATGAAGAGACATTAAACAGTTGCTATAACCAACAAGTGTAGCAAAATTTGAGTTAAAATGTGAAAGTATTAGGGCGTACTTACCAATAGAGGGCACGATCCGTCCTTAAACTGCGACAATGCCTGGTTTCTGGCAGTTTGTGCTTTATCACCACTTATAGAGACAGCTTTCCAGCCCCTGGCAATCCGAAAACAAAACAGACAAGGTTGATTGATGCTACAATGATCTATAAATGGCAAGTCTCAACGGCCACGTGCAGATGATAGCTGGGCATCAAAGATAGCAGGGGAATTAAATGAGAATGGGAAACTACCTTCTCTGAAGCATATTCTCCACCCTGGATGCTTCTTTCTTGTATAAAACAAAAACCAATACTCTATTCCTGCAAAAGATTGCAACTTCCAGTTAGAAAAACTTGGCAAACATTCTGAAACACAGACATAATAAAATATTCATAAATGCTTTGTCCTGTAGGATAATGCCAAGTTCCAAACATGACACGAGCCCACACAAAAGCTATAAACTCAAATCCAATAATTGTGTTAGCATGCATTCAGGTAAAGGGACTTCGTAAATATTCAAAATCAAGTACATATATTTAACCAGCACATACTTTCTTGACTTGTGGTACTTCTCTAGCAAAACCTGCAACCGTTCGTCACGTGCTCGGTCCTCCAAGACCTGCAATCTCACGGTTAATGAACATCTTCTGACAATGCAAACTAATAATTAGGCAATACCAAATCATGTTAATTGTTCACTGATTTCATTGATCAAACTATACCTCCACTATTTGCATGACATCATGGTTAGCAGCTAAATCTTCTGAACCAACGACCACCTGAAACATATATAGATTTCAAATGAAGTGGGTGGAAGAAAGTAGGCACTAGGCAGTAATGGTAACTCCAATAGATGATCCATACCTTAACTGGGGAGGGATCCATAAATTCTTGAGCTAATTGATGCACAGCTGGAGGCCATGTTGCACTGAACATTACCATCTGGCGAACTGCACAGCGTATAACATGAAATTTAATTACAGTAGTACTTATTGGTAGGAGCAATGAAAGATTTGTGCCCCCTTTTTCAGTGCAAAAGGAACTTTCAAAATGGATAAAGATGTTTTTACAAATAAAATTAACAGGAAATAGAACCTACGAACAAGTGGAAATATTTCAATTTTAACAAAATAAAGAAAGAACAGGAGACTCAACATAAAACAATGCTATCAAAGTTCAAAATCATACCAGAGCATGTTTGACTTAATATTGAGCGAACCTCAGGTTCAAATCCCATGTCAAGCATCCGATCAGCCTCGTCTAGGACCTAAACATAAATCACAATTCGTAACATTTGTTGAATAGAGATTAGATGTTGTACAGGCATTTTAATTCGCATCTCACAATTGAATCCATAAACCAGTTTTAACCAACAAATCATATGACCAGATCAGCCCACAGTTCACCCACACAAATGTCAATCTTAAAACCCTAGATTAACAAACTACCAGAAGATCAAAAAACAAAGACCAAAAAGTGAAGTAAAATAATTGGTTGGCAGAAACTTGTTGAAACAAAGAATTCACCTCAATTAAACAACATACAAAAACCTAAGCAACGAAAGAGGACAGCAGCACATACAATTCATTCAGAACAACAGTCGTTTATTCCCTATACAATAGAGAGGCAAATAGCTACTTACCACGAAAGACACCTCCTTTAGAAGGCACACTCCCATTTCCATTAAGTCCTTCAAACGACCAGGGGTCCCAATAACAACCTCCTGTGTATAGCCAAAAAAAAAAAAAGAGTCTTGAGGTGTTGATGCATATTGACTGAATCGAATTCATGCCCAAGCTGGTCCGAATCATAGATATAATACAAAAATAAACAAACACTAGAATTTGGATGATCAATTATGAAAACCAACTCCAATGAAGGAGTCACATGTTATGTTATAGACAGCATAAGTCAAATTTGAAGAGCATATATATCTGTCTTCTAACTATGTGAGAAAGCAATAGTATGCCACGACTAAGTTTTCCATTAGCAAATCAAATGCCAAATCGAAACTTATCTTTGAGCTCGAGATGATGGAAAACTTACCACACCAGACTTTAGTGAAGATATTTGGGGTCCTTTAGAAGCTCCTCCGTAAATACAAACTGACCGGACTCCGCAAGGCTTTCCAGAATCACAAAGAACATCTGAAATCTAAAACAGTTATGTGTCAGTCTATATCATTCATAAAGCTTCAATCGGCATAATGGAAAAGCCAAATAACAGTGGAATATGTGCAGATAGAACAAAACCAAAATACACACAAGAGTGTAATCAACGAATCGAGAACATACTTGTTGAGCTAGCTCCCTCGTAGGCGATAGAACAAGGCAAAGCGGATTCGCTCTCTTCACGTTTTTACCCATTCGCTTGCTCAACACGTGCATTATAGCAGGAATACCAAATGCAAGTGTCTTACCTGACCAACCCAACAACACACATTATTTTTCTACAAGGAAAGCTCACATCATAAAACAAATATCAAGCAATACTAAATCAAAAAGGAATAAAGAAAAAAGAATTACCAGACCCAGTGGCTGCAATTCCGATAAAATCACGGCCATCGAGGAGAAACGGCCACGAATGCGATTGAATTGGGGACGGTTTATCGAATGTCTTGCAGCATTCCAACACATCACTAGGGAGCCCGGACTCTGCAAACGAATCCAACGCCTTGTATTTCGATTCGTTCACATTCTTCCCCGATACAACAACGCCGCTGCTTCCGATTACCTCCTCCACCGCGTTCTCCTTAACAGGCGCAATCTCATTTGCTTCTCCCTCCTCTTTCTCTTTCTTCTTCTTCTTCTTCGATTGTTTCACCGACCCGTTACTCGCGGTAACTTCTTCTCCCCCCTCCAATTTGTCCTTTTTCGACCTTTTGGCGGAAATCTCAGCTGAACCGTTCGCGGCTGCTTCATTTCCCTCTGTGGCGGCGGTGGCGAATTCAGCATCCGTTTCTTCGAGCTTCCTCTTGTCCTTGCTCTTGCGCTTTTTCTGGAACTTGGTGTCGCCGGAATCAATGGCGTTCATGGCTTCTGCTTCGGCTTTCTGATTCTTTTGGCCGCCCATTTTGCTGAGAAGATACCAAAACCCTAGAGAGAGAAAACGGTGAGCGGTTGTTTTAAGGGTTTTGTGGGTCGCGGCAAATGTGACGACACTCGAAATTAACTCTTTGTAGGCAGGCACAATAATGAAAATGTATTGCATTTAACACCCATAAAAATGAATTAGTTATATTTTGCATCCTTGAAATTTAGTATTTTATCACTTTACCCCTATAAAACAAATGGTTATCATTTTGCACCATGTATATACAATAAATCATTCTCAATGCGTCCGGATTGAATTTTATAATTTATAAATTTTTATTGTAATTTGTGAAAATATTTGTTGTAATTGTTTTTATATAAGAAAATGGCTAAAGGAGAAATATTTTTTAAATCGACACTTTGCAGTTTGCATCATTAAATACGTTGAGAAACAAAAATAGCGTAACTGAATATATCAATTTATTTTTACTTGTTCCGCTAAACGTACCTTTCGTATAATTTCGTGATAAAAAATTAGTAAGACTTTATTTTGAATTAGAAAATATAAGTTTTTGAAGTCATTCTATTATAATGTTTTTTTATAATATTTTTTTATAAGAAAAAATATTGCATATTGTAGTTTAGAATTTCGGAAACTACCAAAAAATAGTAAAATACCACTAAAAAGATTATTTTAATGAACTTATATAAATACAATAATGGCGTGCATCGGGACGAATCCCATATTTCCTTTTTTTTTCCTCAACCAATCGGCCTTTACAAATAAAATAATAATTTAAGGTCTCGTTTGGTTGGGGAGATTAGCCATGATTAACTTAATAAGTTGACTTGGAGCCTGTTTGGCTAAGCTTATAAGCTCCTAAAAACATCTTATAAGATGTTTAGGAGCTTATAAGTTGTTAAAAGGTGTTTGGTAAAAAAATTGCAAAAGATCTTATTTTTACCAAAAATAAGCTGTTAGGGAGCTTATAAGATGTTTTTAAAAAAGTACCTCTACCCCACCTTTTTTCTTTAAGATCTTATTTGTTTCTTTACTAAAACACTTAAAATACAAAATTACCCTCAAATACTTTATTATATTACATGAATACTAATAATATTTATATTTTATCAAAACAACGTATTCTTGTAATCAAGATTAATAATATAATTAGTTAAATATAATTATCGTAATTATCATAATAATTGTAAAAAAATTTATTCTCTATTTATATTTTATATGTATATAAAAATACACGAATATTCTTATTATCTCCATAATAAATTATATTTCTTTCATCTAAAAAAAATTATATTTCTTTTACAACTTTTATTTTATATTATTATATAATTTTATATTATTATTAATATTTGAAAAAATAATTTGTAAATATTATAATAATATTTTAGGAACAAAAGTATTTGAGTCAAATAAGTTTAACAATTATACTAGCGTCATGTACTTTTTTGTCATTATAGCAATAAACAGACATTTTATTTCCAAACACCTGAACAACTTATAAAAACAAAAAGTAACTTATAAGCTACATATCCAAACACCTTAAAAAGTAATTTTTAAAATAAGATCTAATAGCTTATCAGCTCCTAAAACATCTTATCAGATGTAGGAACTTATAAGATGTTTTAAATAAGCTTAGCCAAACGGGCTCTTAGTTTGATATTTGATATTCTCAATAACTCGTCGGGTCGATGCACAAATATTGTGTTATCATAGTTTATCTTGCTTTTTATGCATGTTTTTTATTGCAATTTTCAACGTCCGGTAATATAAATGGGTTTTACTAGATTATTTAAATTTAGGGTTAATATGCTAAGAGTCCCTTAAATGAAACCTAATTTGAACTAAATGACAACCTTAAATTCAATCTTTTAATTAAATCCCTATTTTAAAATAATATATGACCCACATCCCTAATTTTTATTTTATCCCTAGTTTGCCCTTATACCCTAAATATAATATCCCACGTTTATTCAACTAATCAATTTCAAACGTTTTCTCTATCGCAACTCGCCGCTCCCTCTCCCTCTCGCATCTTCTACAGATTTTTTATTTGTATTATATCTCGCCTCTCGCCAATCACTCTCCCTCTCGCTTCCTCTTCTCCCTCTCCCTCTCGCCTCTTTATCTTCCGGCAAGGCGTTGTGGTGGTCGAGGCGATGGCGAGGGGTTGTGGTGGTCGAGGCGGTGTTGGGCGTTTGTGGTGGTCGAGGCGGTGTTGGAGGGCTGCGGTGGTCGGCGGTGTTGGGGGCTGCGGTGGTCGGCGGTGTTGGGGGCTGCGGTGGTCGGCTGTGTTGGGGGCTGCGGTGGTCGGCGGTGTTGGTGCTGCGGTGGTTGGCGGTGTTGGGGGCTGTGGTGGTCGGTGGTGTGGGGGGGCTGCGGTGGTCGTGTTGGGGGGGTTGTGGTGGTCGGCGGTGTTGGCTTCTAGGGTTTGACGGCTATTGTGTTTACGACTAGGGTTAGCGAGATTTGGGTGTTGTTGGGTGCTAGGGTTTGGTAGTACACCGTAGTAGACTATAGTACACTGTAGTATACTTTGCATTTAGGGTTTGGATAAAGTAAACTATAGTAGATCATAGTACACTGTAGTACACCATAACCATAGTATATCATAGTGTACCATAGTGTTTCATAGCCTACTACGATTTTGACAACAGATAAAATTAAAAAAATGTAAATTGAATAAAAAAACGAAAAAACAATTTTTTTTTATAATTTTCAATATTATGTAGGAAAAAAAATATTTTTTTATGTTTTTTATAATAGTGTAAAAATGATATAATTAGATTTTTATAATAATGAAAACAATACGACATGAAAAAAAAGAAATATGTAGAAAAAAGAAAAAGAGAAATATGTTCTACGTGAAAAAAATAATAAAAAAATGCTAGATGGAAAAATGAAAATGATAAATGTTGTTAAAATATTATTTGATGTATATTACAATTTTTATTTGTTAAGGGCATTTTTGGAATGAAATTTATAAAGGATGTGAAGCAAAGATTTAGTTAGACTTGTTATTTAGTTCTAATAAGTTTTGTCACTAGGGACCTATATCTTAAGACCCCTTAAATTTATCTTGGCTAATCTTTTCTTGTCAACAAAACGAGACCTAAATATACAAAATAAGAAATAAAAACACTTAAATCACTAAATAATTTAAAATATTGGTTACATATTGATTTTGTTTTTCCAATATTAAAATCTCACAAAAAATAAATGCCCGTGCATTTTTCCATTACATATATAATTGAAGTGTGGAATTTGCTAATATAAGAAAATATAGGGTGAAAACCGCCAACCTATCATTTGTGGAGTTCAAAATGCAATTGATGCAAAAATTCAAACAACTTATGTTTAAAGGCTTAATTTCACTTTGCACCCCTGAAATTGAGTATTTTGACACTTTGCAGAATTGAAAATAATAATAGCGTTTTGCACCCTCAAAACACAATAAATCATTCAATGTACTATGAATTTAACAATAACGGCAATTTCATTTGTTATTGGTTTTTTTTTTGGGGCATGCAAAATAACAAATTAAATTATTATTTTCTTCAACTTCCAACCTAATTTTGAGCTCACAAAGTGCAAAAAAGTAAGAAATCACACCGAATTATTGAAAAAGAATATCTTACAACAAAATAAAATAAACTTTTATCACTAAATTATTCGTTTATAGATATTTACTGTAACTAGTGGAAATATTAGGTAAAAAATGAAAGAAAATATGATTTTTCAGATAACTTGATAACAAAATAGTTGAAGAATTTTTTTCGTAAAATATTTATTTGTGATAAATAAAAATATAATTTCTAAATATGTTGATGAAATGTATTTTTATTATTGCACTTTATAATTTCAAAATGATTGACGAAAAAAATTGATTTGACATTTGTCCTCCTAGAAAAAAACCAAAAAAAATATTAAATTACTTCTATTAGCTTTAGAAAATTAATTGGGATGCATGGTGCATAATTTATTGTATTTTGATAGTGCAAAATGCTATTAATTTATTTGGAAGATGTAAAAACTCATCATATTTCGGTAATTACTCTACAACCCTTCAACTATGAATTTTCTTACACATTTATCCTTATCATGTCAAATTTAGTGAAATATTATCCATTTGCTTCCGTTTTATTCCATTCGAGCTCCACAATTTGAAACGAGATGAACCCGAAATCAATATCCATTTACGGTAACCGTCTTCTCAATTTACATGGATTCTGCTGCCTATTTTCTAGACTATATTTTTGCGTTTTCAAATCTTCTGTGGTTTTTCAGTGATTACTGATTAGTGATGTTGGGGTTTAATTTGGGGGTTATATTTATTTAATTTTCATGTGATTATAGATCCGAGAAATAAGGCGTGATTAAATTTGAAAAAAATATATATTTATATTTTGATGTGAATTGTTTGCATTTGTTCGTAGAATATTATTTGAATTACCTAAACCTAATCATCTGTTGTAGTAATTATTCATAAACAAGTATGGTAATATAATTTCGATTTCTCACTTAAATACTGTATCAAGAATCATAAGAACATCTAATTTGGAGTTAGGTTTATGGATTTGTGATTCACTCATCTGAATTTGGGGGTTTTCATTCCTAGGTTATATAGATTCTGCAGGGTTTAAGAGATTTCACTACACACACATTTCAGTGTGTGAATATGAATACTACTCTCAAACACGAATATCGATTTTCTAGTATTTGTCGATTCGAAGATGTGTTAGAGAATTTCTCAGTTTATGTATATGGTCTACATGTATTATATTAGGATAAGCATCATTTGAATTGATTCACAAAGTCAATGAGAGATCCCTTCCTTGAGTTGACTTTCGTATATCTATATTTTTATTTTTATTCTGATTTTTTCGTTATCGAAAATGAATTAATTACCACCTTGTTAATGAATGACGTGCAGAATGGTGATGGTGCAGGTGCTTGGTCAAAGTCACACATTCCTAAATTAGTTGCAAATAAACGGGGTTTCGCCAAATCCATGGAGCCAATTTTTTGCTAAGTTGTAACCATTTCTACAACTGTATCGAATTTTATAATATACATACATTTTTGCGTAATTTTTTGTGTTTCGGAATCCGATGAAGGCGCAAGAACTTGCTGCATTGGAAGCAGATTTGAACAGGAGAGAAACGGTCGGTTTATTTCTCGTCTGACTTTACGCTGTTGATTAGAAGTTATGTTGGAAATTGATGCATCTGTGTTGAATCTTGGTTTATTTCATTCCTTCGTTTTTTTATGTTTTTTATGCTCTTCTCGTAATCGGAAAGAGTAGTAATCCGTACATATTTATTCATCTGCTCTGTTCATATGCGATGATGTTCTTATGTTAGATGATGGTCAACTATGGAAAAAAAAGCATTGCATCGAAATATTTATCGGTTTTACTTTAGCCTGTTTTCATTTACGAATTTTATGACTGTAAATTGTAATCGATTCTCGTTGATTTCAGGACATTCGACGTAGGGAAGAAGCTGTTTCAGGGGGTAAGCTTCGTTCTTGGACTATTTGTCGTGTTCCGATTTATTTTGCTTTTAACTTTTTTTTTTCGTCATTCCTCTGCTTCAGCTGTAGTTCGGACGGATAAACGAAATTGGCCCCCGTGTTTCCCCATTATTCACCACGACATAGCCAAAGAAATCCCGATTCATGCTCAGAAGCTGCAGTATCTCGCCTTTCTAACTTGGCTAGGTTGTGTATTATATGGTGTTCTCTTGTTTATTTAAGAATCGATATTCGTCGTGTCGTGTCTGAAAATTTAAGTTACGTTTATCGTCACAGGCATTGTTCTTTGCCTCGTGTTCAATGTTGTCGCCATCACTGTTTGTTGGATAAAGGGCGGCGGTAAGTTCCTTTTGTTCGGCATTTTTTTTCCTTCCGTTTTCCGATCTCTCGTCAAAGTCAACGAAGGTGCCATGTTTTTGTAGGGGTCAAGATTTTCTTCCTTGCAATAATCTATGCCTTCATCGGATGCCCGCTTTCGTACGTACTATGGTACAAACCTTTGTATAACGCGATGAGGTACGTCTGTATGCACAATTATTCTCCGTACGATCTCGTCTCGGGTATTACTTTGATTCTTTGTATTAACGGCAGTTTCTCCGATATTCAGGACTGATAGTGCCTTGAGATTCGGCTGGTTTTTCATGTTCTATTTGGTACGTTTAATTTTCGTCGTTGAATATTTAAAAAAAAAATATCGACTAAGGCGTAACCGTTAACTCAATTTCACTGTGCAGCTTCATATTGCTTTTTGCATATTCGCTGCAATTGCACCGCCGGTTATCTTTCGCGGAAAATCATTAACGTAAGTTTGAATTAACTCGTCTTTATGAACCGAATGTGTTTTCTTTTTTCACTTTATCGACTAATGTTTACCGTTTTTTTTCTTGGTATTAGGGGCATCCTTGCTGCAATTGATGTCTTCTCCGACAGTGCGTTTGTCGGGGTGAGTGTTACTATTGATGCTTATACGTGTATAGTAGAACCTCGATAAACTGTTAACCTCGTTTAAATAATAATTTATGTCGGTCCCGACTCGGTGAAAACGTATAAAACTATTATTTCGATAATTTAATATTTCGCGAAATTAATAGAATTCTGCTAGTCCCGACTGTATTAACTTTATATGAATACAGTTAAACCTTTATAAGTTAATACAGACGAGACTAGGAAAATTCTATTAATTTAGTGAATTGTTAAATTATCGACTTAATAATATAACACGTTTTCACCGAGTCGGGACCGAGAAAAAATATTAATTTTATCGAGGTTAATAATTTATCGAGTATTAATTTAATGCAGATATTTTACTTGGTTGGATTTGGATTGTTCTGTTTGGAATCGCTGTTGAGCTTCTGGGTACTCCAGGTTAGAGAATTAATAACTGCATTTTTTTAGTTAGTAAAAGTTTTTATTTGCATTTATTGTCTTAAAGTTCGGGAAAAGTGTACTTTTAGTCCCTTTAGTTTACCTGGATTTCATTATTGGCCTTCCTCATTGTTTACAAAAAACAGATTTAGTCTCTCATGTTTTAAAAATTCAACATTGTTAGTTATTTCCGCCAATTTTCCGGTACTACTGACGGAATCAATCATGTGTTGATCAATGCCTTAACTGAAGGACTAACTATAAATCGACGGAAATGATCAGGAGCGTTTAATTATTGAAACATGAGGGAGTAAATGTGTCTTTTTGTGAACACGAGGACCAAATGTGAAATCGTTTACAAACTTGAGGGATGAAAACTGTAAATTTCTCCTTAAAATTCTGATGTAGTTCGTATGTAATGTGACTAGGGCTGGAAATTGAACAATACATGAATTCTACTTGGACGTATATTTTCGAAAATATTTTTGAAAATGTTGATTTTAGTCCTGAAAATTATATAATAATATCAATATTATATGTAATTTATAATGTGGTTTTTTTTTTCTAATCTATTTTTGTTGATTTTTTTTTTTATCTCTTTTGCAGAAAATATATTCGTTTATTCGGGGGAACAAGTAATTCTGCAAATTTCATTGAGATGAGTTGCCCAAGTACATATTTTTCCCCTCGAGTGAGTTTGCGTGAAGTTATTCGTTTTTTTAGGTGATTTTTTGTTTTGATGATTCATTTTATTTAATATGTTAATTATCATAGGGTGGCTGAATTGTGCATTATAATTTCTCTTTGGGTAATGTATTGATATATTTTTTTCTTAGTAATTAGGATTTGTTACTTAATGTTTTTATTTTTTAATACTTTTTTCATTAATAAAAAGAGTGCTAATGGTGTTTATATTTTGTTGATTGGCAATTTTACACATGAGTGTAGGACCATCGGATTTCTAAATTGTTAGAAGATGTTACGCTCGTCACTCTGTGTATTTCATCGAGTTATATTTTATCGTATACGTGTATAAATTTGTACATATATGTGACACGTCTACATTACTATGGATACAAGAGCGTGACAAAAATAGAGATAACAAAATTGGCAAGTGATTAGAGAGCTGTTACGCACATAGTAATTACAGAATTGTCACTCATCAAGTAATTATTGTAGTTACAAAACTGTCACTCAACATCGTAATTATAGAATTATCTCTCAACAAATAATTACAGAACCGCCATTGACAGTAATTATAAAAGTGTCACTCATCAAGTAATTACGAAACTGTTATTCATCAAGTAGTTATAGAACTCTCATTCAGCAGCAATTAGAGAACTACCACTCAACAAATAATTACGTAACTGCCACTCAACAAATAATTACACAATCGCCACTCAACAACAATATGAACTTGTTACGTCTTATTTTCAGAAGAGATTCATAAAATATTTGAACGAGCTTATAAGCTATTCTTTACTCGTTGTTGTCCATTTAAAAAAAAAAAAAAAAAAAAAACTTGAACATATTACAATGGTTTTGAAAGTCAAAATTTCAATTTGGATCAAAACAAAAAGGTCCATACTAGTTTACCATGGCACTCATCCACACACAAACACACCCCACACCCTCACAACCCTCATCTCTTACCAATCCATCATCCTCTTGCCACGTGGCACATAATATCCAAACTTCAACACATGACCACCAACCCTTTCTCCATGCCTACTTTTAATCACAAACACATCATCCATCTCCTTATCAAAATATTTCACCATTTTATTTAATCATAATAATAACACTAATTATTATTATTAGATAAAATCAATTGTAAAAGGAGATAATTTAAAACTCCAAACTCCAATTTTTTCAATAAAAATAATAATTTTTAATTTTGTGTATAAAAACCCAATAAAAAGTGACACGTCACACTCCCCCTCATCTAAACCAAACAGGCTTTTCTGTCCAACTAAACTGCCACCTGTATTTTACTCTCACTATAGCCTCTTCTTTTATTTTTTTATTTATCCTCACACTTCTTCTTTTTCTTTTTTTTATATAATAATTTAATTTCATTAAAAAAAATTAATGTCCTCAAAACAATTTAAAATTAAAAAAAAAAATCCCAATAACATCACTCCCACACCACTCCATTTCTAGCTTCATCTCTCTAAACACACACTTCTAGAGAGAGAAACAAGAGAGAGAAAGAGAGAAACAACAATGGCGGTCTGTACTGTGTACACAGTCCAATCCCTCAACTCAACCTACTCAATCTCCACCACACCGGCGAAGAAAAACAACTTGCTGGGTTTCAACCAGAAGCAGGCCGTCGTTTTCTACAGCCGGAAAACCACCACCGCCACCAGAAGCGGCAGACCCGGCGCCGCCGTGATATCATGCTCCGCCGCGGACAAAACAATCGTGATTGGGCTGGCGGCGGACTCCGGCTGCGGGAAGAGCACATTCATGCGGCGGCTGACGAGCGTATTCGGCGGCGCCGCCGAGCCACCGAAGGGCGGGAACCCGGACTCGAACACGCTGATCAGCGACACCACCACCGTGATTTGTCTCGACGACTACCACTCACTGGACAGAACCGGACGGAAGGAAAAGGGAGTAACCGCACTGGACCCGAGAGCCAATGATTTCGATCTCATGTACGAACAGGTTAAAGCGATTAAAGACGGCGTCGCCGTCGACAAACCGATTTATAACCACGTCTCCGGTCTGTTGGACCCGCCGGAGCTGATTAAACCGCCCAAGATTCTCGTTATTGAAGGATTACATCCAATGTAAGTGTGTGTTAATTAGTTATTTATTTATTTATTTACTTTAATTATTATTGCATGCATAGTAGAGAAAAAAAGAAGGGCTATCTTTAATTCTATGGTTGAGGAGTGAAGAAGATTGTCCACGTCATCATATATGACACGTGGTCATCTGACACGCACTCTTTATCACTTCGGTTTTTTCCTATGTACATATTTACCAAAAGGGTAAATTACGAAACAACCCCTAAACTTAGGCCAAATAACAAAAAACACCCTCACCTGTTCGTAATTACCAAAAACCTTCTGATGTTTGTTCTCGTCTTACACGAACCTCCTTACAGTGTGACTTTTCAATGATTTTTTTTTTATATTTCCGGGAATAGACTTTACACAATTTCAGATATTTTATTTTATTTCTCACATATTTAACACGAGGTATATAATAGATTGTACATACTTTCTGTTAAAAAACTCGATCAACAGTTAATCAGAGAGGAATTTTGGTTATTACGGATAGGTGGAGGTGTTTTTCGTTATTTAATCTAAGTTCATGAGGTTTTCTTAATTTATCCTAAAAAAATAAAAATAAAAAATCAAATTCTATTACAAAATCGAGAAAATAGGGGAGACGCAGGATTTGAACCATAGGCCTCTACTCTAACCAAAATCGAACCTATTGGTATGAATTTCAAGACTATCAATGAATTTTACATGTCTTCGATACTAAAACCGAAGATATTTTCTTTTATTTTTAAGAATATTTATATTACTATAGTATAATACTCTTAAAAAAACATATTTTTATTTAAACAACTAGTTGTATTATATTATATTAAAAAAAATGTTTTTGAATATTTTGTTAATTATATGCGAGGCTTCTGTATATAATAGGTACGATTCACGAGTAAGAGATCTTTTGGACTTCAGTATTTACCTGGACATCAGCAATGAAGTTAAATTCGCTTGGAAAATTCAGGTAAATTCATATATATATATATATATATATATATATATTTAATTTGAAAATAAAATTGGTAATTATAAATTTAATCTGATTAATAATTAATTATATTGTTGGATGGAAATGAAGAGGGACATGGCTGAAAGAGGACACAGCCTTGAAAGCATCAAAGCTAGTATTGAAGCCCGAAAACCCGATTTTGATGCTTACATTGGTAACTTTTTATCTTTCCCTTACCTCAATCTCGATTACGGGGCCGAAATCGGAACAAAACTTCTCGATTCCGTCATTTCTCTCATTTTTATCACAAAAAAATCGATGTTTTGACTTTCGAAAACTAAACTACCATCGAAATCAAAATGATTTCTGATCGGAATTTATCTCTATTTTTTTTTTCGGAAATCAAAATAAAAATTCCAAATTTCGCCGATTTCAATCTGGAAATCCAACATTATAATATATTTATTTTCTCGTTGATTTCAGATTTCTAGTTTTTTGCCGAATTAGTTCATCACTTTTACAAGAATACAAAATCCTAATATTTTTCAAGAAAATGCTAACTCTAATCAGATACGTCCGATTTCCATTCCTAACCTCATTCGAAACACACAAAAAAAAAAAAAACACAATAAAATTTGAACATAAATGCTAATACTTTTTCTCATCGGATTCCAATTCTCATCGATACATCGGAATTTACATTCCTAACCTCGTTTTGTTTGCAGATCCACAGAAGCAATACGCAGACGCAGTGATAGAAGTTTTGCCAACACAGCTAATTCCAGATGACAATGAAGGCAAAGTTCTAAGAGTGAGATTGATTATGAAAGAAGGTATTAAATTTTTCAATCCCGTTTACCTTTTCGACGAAGGCTCCACTATTTCGTGGGTCCCGTGTGGACGGAAATTGACTTGCTCTTACCCCGGCATCAAATTCACCTACGGCCCCGATACTTACTACGGCAACGAGGTATACTCCACAATTTGCGTCTTTTTTCTTTAACTGCGTTTGGATTGAAGAATTTAGATTCGAAATGAGACAATTAGTCCAAATTATATGAATTTGAAAGCCAACGCCACGACTCGAAACGAGAGCTAAGAATTTGAAATTAGTCATTAGTTCGGATAGAAATTCAACACGAGTGACACTGTGGGTGTATTTTGAACGGAAATTTTGAATTCCGAAACTTCCGATTCTGATTTTTTTTTACGGAATTGGAATACATATTAGATTCCGGGTTTCAATCTGATTTAATATTCAAAACTATTTCCGAAAATTTTGATAATTTTGTGAAAACAACACTTATAATTATCAATATTGTTTTGTATTTTGTATTAGAGTTACTTACAAAATTGGAATTTTCGAATTCCGCCCATTCCGACCCCAAAATTTCCAATTTTGGAACAAAAGTTTTTTTAATTCCAATTTCCAAAATTCTGATTCCCGATTTTTTCTTTCTGTAACAGGATTGGAATTACTTTCAACATAAAAAATAAAAATTGAAAATTTTCTGGAAATTGTTATTTAGATCCAATCCACCTGATTTCCATCCCTAGATTTATTACATTTAGCACCCATGTTTTGCACTCGTACCAAAATATTAGCAAAATCCTCCCTATAATTCAATTTTATTAGCAAACTACCCCCTAATATCACATCATTTAGGAGGTTGTATGCTAAAAAAAACGCATCATACGAGAAAACGCAATTAATTATACTTGTCGTTGTTCTTCGTATCTATAACAACAGGTCTCGGTATTGGAAATGGACGGGCAATTCGACAGACTGGACGAACTGATTTACGTGGAAAGCCACCTCAGCAACATATCCACCAAATTCTACGGTGAAATAACTCAGCAAATGTTGAAGCTTTCCGATTTCCCAGGCAGCAACAACGGCACCGGTCTTTTCCAAACAATCGTCGGCCTCAAAATCAGAGACCTTTACGAGCAGATCATCGCAACCCGAGCCGCTGCTCCATTGGAAGCTACAAAGGCCTGAAAAATAAAATTAATAAAAAATCGCACGTAATATCATAATATGAGACAGGCTCTTCGGCTGTCTAATTTTTTTTCTCTCTCCTCTCTCTCGTGTTGTTGTTGTTGTTATCAGTTGTGTGTTATAGATGAACATTGAACAGAGAAATTTCGACGTTTATTTGTATTTTTTTACGTTCGGTCGAACAAAAACTTTGTGGAGACTTTGTAACATAGAGAAACAAGAAGCACATAAAAAAAAGGATTATGTAATCGTCTTTGGCAAATACCGTTCCGACTCTGAACGTGATTTTAACTATTTTCGAGTTTGAATTTGCCAGAACTCGAAAAATGGAATTTGTGGTAGTTTGACTTAACTTTCTAATCCAACTTGAAAAGAATTATAGATGAATGAATGAATCAACTAACACTGTCACACCTTTGATGTTTTGAAATTCAATATACAACTAGTTTGTACGTAACTTTATTACATGCCATCCAATTTAGTTGTTTCAAGTTGGATTAGAATGATAACTCAAAGGACTACAGTTTTTGTGTTCTGAATTTTTCCAAAATCAGCTAAAAAGGATTAAAAATACCTTGGAACTGATAAACGATATTAATAAAATTAAAACGACATTTAACATTTTTTTTTTTTTTTTTTTTTGGCATTTCAATATTACAACATGTGTGCGAAGTTATAATAATTTATGATCCAATCATATCTTATTTTATTTTAAAACTCAAATCATGTTTGGCATGCCAAATTATATTTCACATTTATTGTTAAAAAATAATTTATGGTCATATCCACGGTGCAATTATGCAATTGCATGTGTGAATCAAGACATTAAGACATGTTTGGCTAAACTTATAAATTGTTGATAAATTCTTGCGCTCGGTAAGTGTTTTAAGAGACGTAAGTTGTTACTTCTTATTTTTATACTTAATTTTTAGAATATTTGGATATTAAGCTTGTCTTATTTATAATTAATTTATAAAGTATTTGAATAATGAGCTGTTACATCTTATGTGCTCTCCAACAACTTATTTTTTATTTTTTTAAATTTTAACATATTAAAAAAAAATTAACATTTCAAAAGAGCTTACAGGCTCTAAAACATCTTATGAGCTTATTTTGTCAAAGATAAATAATAAATATCTATTAATTATGGAAAATGTAAATCATTACATTATGATATATTTAAATTAATGTCTTAAAATCTTGCTCATATTTTATGTTCACACTTTATTTATTTTCAAGTTGAGGTATTTATTCCAAACCCCATATCTTAAGATTGGAAGGCAAGTACAATTTAAAAGGTAATATTCTATAATTAATTATTTATTTTTTATATACACAATTAATCCAAAGAGAATATTCTCATTAAGCCAAAGTCACACAGCCCATGAAATGAGGGACTCTTCATAATCTATCTCACGCCACCTTTACACGGCGGAGCGCCGCCCCGGGAAGAAATTCATCAGACAAGAAAAGAATTCACTCACTAAAAGTCAAAAAGGAATCTCCAAACCCTAGAAAAAAAAAAGACTGTAAAAGAACTCCCCGGAAGCCTCGAGCATCTCCCTCCGCCACCTTTACTCTATTCCCTCCGCCGCCATTAAAACACACACACACACACACAAACTTTCGGACAAATCCAGAAGGAAACCCTCAAAACCCCAAAAGGGTTTTCAAATTTCACACACACACACACACACTTTCAGACACAACTGAGAGACTAACCGACCTTTTCAAGAAAAGCCCACCAAGAAAATATTCTTTTCTTGAAACCCCACTTTTTTTTTTTTTTTTTTGAGATAATCTTGAACACCCCTTTTAATTCTTCCCAATTTCTGTTTTTTTTTGTCTGAACAAAAAAAAAAAAAAAGAAAAAAAAATGGCAACCATAGCTGATATTGGGGTATCAGCACTAATAAACATACTGAGCATGTTAGCTTTCTTGATTGCGTTTGCTCTGCTTAGAATTCAGCCAATCAACGACAGAGTTTACTTTACCAAATGGTACATTGCCGGAAAAAGGAGCAGCCCTAGAAACAGAGGTGGTGGTGTGGTGGGCAAAATCGTCAATCTCAATTGCAAGACTTATCTCTCTTTCCTCAACTGGATTCCCCAAGCTCTCCAGATGTCTGAGTCCGAAATTATCGCCCACGCCGGCTTCGATTCGGCCGTGTTCTTGAGGATTTACTTACTTGGGTATATATTTTCAAGATTCCATTTTTCTTTAAATCTTTTTATTTTTATTTTTTTTCTGTTTAGTTTAGAATTTTTTTTCGTTATTGAATGGTTTTCGTGTTCTTGCAAACTTATGTGGTTTTTAGTTGCATTATTTTTCTGTCCGGTTTCGAGTGTTTGTGTGTTCGTATTCGTAAATACTTGCACGTTTTTCGATAGTTGTTTCGAATTATGTGGTTTTTCGTGTTCTTACAAACTTATGTGGTTTTTAGTTGCATTATTTTTCTGTCCGGTTTCGAGTGTTTGCGTGTTCCTATTCGTAAATACTTGCAAGATTCCATTATTTATTTATTAATATTTTTTCGATAATTGTTTTGAATTATTCTAGTTGTTGAAGGGTTCGTCGTGGTTTTTATAATTTTCGAAGAAGTTATAAACTTAAGTTGTTTCTACTTGCATATTTCGAATCCCTTTTTAATTACTAAGGTTATGTTGCTTTTTCGGTAATTACGTACGAGGAAGAATGAGAGAGAGGAGCAGGACATAAAGAATACTTTTTTGATGAAATGAAAAATAAAAATTGAAGAGAGGATTCAAATTTCGTTATCAAAATTGTGTTCGATCCTCGTGTCTCGTATTCGTCTTTCGGAGATTCTTACACATTTTGTTCTTTCCAACTTTTGACAGTTTGAAAATATTCGGACCAATAGCGGTTGTGGCACTCCTAGTTCTGATTCCGGTAAACGCTTCGGGTGGAACTTTATTTTTTCTGAGTCGTGACTTGGTTGTTAGCAACATCGACAAGCTCTCGATATCAAACGTTCGTCCAAAGTCTTATAAGTAAGTTATTTGAATGATTGAATTACCATTTTCCATTTTACGTTTCGAATCGCTTATCTTTTCCGGATATTTAGTGTTCGTAAACTATTCCGATTGAATTTCAGGTTCTTTGTGCACATATCTATGGAATACTTATTTACATTTTGGGCTTGTTACATGCTTTACAAAGAATACGATAGAGTTGCGTCTATGAGGCTAAAATTTTTGGCTTCAAAAGACAGGTGCCCCGAACAATTCACGGTTAGTTCATTTGACGTTGCAATTATTATTTTTATTATGATATTAACTATTATTATGATATTAACTATTATTATGATATTAAGTATTAATATTCAAATTTTCCTGCATTTATATGTTCGAAAACTATAGTTGTCTATATTTGAACTGCACACAGGTTCTTGTTCGAAACGTGCCACATATTTCTGGACATACGGTTTCCGATAGTGTCGAGAGCTTCTTTCAGAAAAATCATCCAGGTCAATATCTGTGTCACCAGGTAATTATTTTGTTTCCCAAGAAAAATAAAATTAAAAGACCTTTTTTTTTTGAATTCCTATGATAAATGAAAAAAGATCTTCATTCTTTCAACTCAATTTAATAACCTGTTTTTGGTATTCTTATTACAACCCAGGGTGTATACAGTGCTAAAAAGTTCGCCAAACTTGTTAAGAAAAGAAGCAAGCTTCAAAATTGGCTCGATTACAACCAACTCAAGTTCGAGAGACAGCCAGACAAAAGGCCTACACGAAAGGTACACTTTTTTCGTGTACTTGCAATAAAAATAGCATTTTGATTATTTGATAAATATCTTATTACACGTTTTTGTCATTCAGACAGGATTTCTCGGACTTTGGGGCAAAAGGGTCGATTCCATCGACTTCTACAACCAAGAAATTAAAGATCTTGACGAAAAAGTACGATTTTTTTTTTCAAAAAGTTGCTACATTTATATTCGCTTTCTAAAAAGAATTGATTTTTATAATCCCTTGTGCTCAATTAGATGATAATCGAGCGGCAGAAAATAATGAAAGACCCTAAATCAGTAATGCCAGCTGCATTTGTTTCGTTCAAATCGAGATGGGGAGCAGCCGTTTGTGCACAGACACAACAGAGCAAGAATCCGACGCTTTGGCTTACAAGGTGGGCCCCGGAGCCACGTGATGTGTACTGGAAGAATCTTGCAATTCCGTTTGTGTCCCTCACAATTCGGAAACTCATGATTTCGGTATTATTGTTCGCATTGGTCTTCTTTTACATAATACCGATCGCTTTCGTACAATCGTTGGCCAATTTAGAAGGGCTCGAGAGGGTTGCTCCTTTTCTCAGGCCAATAATCGAATGGTAAGTGGCAACGAAAAAAATAATTTTTTTATTAATTATTAATATTTTTTTTTTCTAAAATTGTCAACTTTCTTTTTTTTTTTATGTAGGAAGCTGGCGAAGTCATTTCTGCAGGGATTTGTTCCCGGTTTAGCTCTTAAAATATTTTTATTCGTTCTCCCTTCGATTTTAATGATTATGTCGAAAATCGAAGGGCACGTTTGTTTATCCGTATTAGAAAGAAGAACCGCCGCAAAATACTACTATTTCATGTTAGTCAACGTTTTCTTGGGTAGCATAGTGGCTGGAACAGCTTTCCAACAACTCCATGCTTTTCTTCACCAATCCGCCACACAGTAATATTTTTTTTCCCGATAATTTTAATTTTCAAATAATTCGAATATTATTTTAATTTTTTTATATGTTATTTTGAAGGATCCCGAGAAATATAGGCGTGTCGATTCCGATGAAAGCCACTTTCTTTATTACATATATAATGATCGACGGTTGGGCTGGTATTGCTGGCGAAATTCTCCGGTTGAAGCCTTTGGTGATTTTCCAATTAAAGAAAATGTTTATTGTGAAAACGGAACGGGATTTGGAGAAGGCAATGGACCCTAAAAGCATCGATTTTCCCGAGACTTTACCGAGCCTTCAATTGTATTTTCTTCTTGGCACTGTGTACATGGCTGTCACTCCGATTCTTCTTCCTTTTATACTGATTTTCTTCGCCTTCGCCTTCTTTGTATATCGTCACCAGGTTAGTTATATAATTGAATTTATTGAAAATTCTTGAAATTTACAAGATGGAACTTTTATTGGTTAATTGCGTTCAGCACCCTTGTATTTTCAATATTAGCAACCCCCCCCCCCCCCCTAAAAATGCATCTTAAAAATTTGCATCCTATGGGGTTTTTTTTGCTAATATCTACAATACAAGGACTTTTTTGGCAATTCAATATAACCCAGGGGACTGAATGCAATAAATTCATGCAGGTGATTAATGTGTACAACCAAAAATACGAGAGTGCAGGTGCGTTTTGGCCGCATGTGCATGGTCGAATTATCGGGAGCTTGATAATATCGCAGTTGCTATTAATGGGTTTATTGAGCACGAAAAAAGCTGCAAACTCGACTCCGTTTCTCGTGGTCTTACCTATATTGACTTTGACTTTCCATCAATATTGCAAGAGTCGCTTCGAACCGGCATTCAGAAAGTACCCTCTCGAGGTCAGAATTGTTGGAACACTATAAAATTATTTTTCTCGTTTTTCTTCTGTCGTATTTATTTTAATCTTTGAAAATTAAAAAAAAAAAATTGAAATTAAAAAAATATTTGTTGATTAATCACTTTTAAAATGCAGGAAGCCACGACTAAAGATACACAAGATGAAGCGTCTTCTGCATCTGATATCGAATTAAAATCGTACTTGTCCGATGCATACTTGCATCCGATTTTCCATGCTGTGGAAGAAGTGGAGTTGACCGAAGTCAAAGTGGATAAACCGAGGCCTAGATGAATGGAAAGTAATATGTATAGCCTAGGTGTGATATAGGTTAATATAACCATACCGTTTAGCGTTATCGGAGTTTGATTTTTCTATATATATATCGGTGTTTAGTTTACGTATATAAAGCTTTAACTGAGTCTTTTGCAGTTATCAGATAGGGTTTAACATATATTGTTAAGAAGCTCATATGCTAATTTTCAGTTGTAGGTTTTGTTAACTGATGATGTAAATGTGTGGATATTTGATTTTTTTAATTTAATTAATTGACCTTCTTATGTCTCTGCTTAACAAGAGAATGTGATTTATTTATTTAATATTTTTTTTTTGGTTGGTATTATAATTATTGAAATATATATATTGATAAATATATCCAAGTAAAAAAAAAATTATTGCATTTTTGAGATATCATAAACCCTTTAGTTTCTAATTTTATTTATTTATTTATTTTGAAATATTTTTTATTGGAATTGGAATTGGAATTGTATATAAAAATTCCAATTTCGAAATTGGAATTTATTTTTGAAAATAATTATGACTTATTTTTTTTTGCATAATATAACATTTACTAGTACTACACCCGTGCGTTGCACGTGATATCATTATAAAAGCAATAATAAAAAGATTCTCGAAATAATACGATCAATTGTTGATATGCAATACAAAGAAGTAGAAAAATATTAAAAAAAATATATATATTTTGTATAGTGTATGTGATGAAATAAGCCAAAATAATTGAAAAATCTAAACATCGAAGGTTTTAATTTCCGCATACAAATGGCGGATATATCGTTGCTCCCAAACATGTACAACCATAATGATATAGTTTCATTCAAAACTTGAATTTGATCCAAATAATTAGTGTCATTGTGTTGATACCAACCACCCTAAACGCATGTAATGAATCTAATACAGTGCAATTGACTTGCATATTTTGTGTGTGTGTGTGAGAGAGAGAGAGAGAGAGAGAGAGAGAGAGAGAGAGAGTTTGTTAATAATCCATGGTTAAGAAAAAAATAATCAAAACCACCATTATTTATTTTATTTTTTTGGTTCTTCACAAACCTCTCTGTGTTTCTATTTATTGTCATTTCCCCCATTTTATCAGAAATTGTTGGAGAAAAGCATACAACAATTTCTGGGGCTTCCCATTTCAACCAAAAGAGGAGGTACGTTTTATTATCCCATTTCTGCATTATTTATTGTATTTTCCTAAAATTATAAATAATTTAAGTGTAAAATTCATTTTTCTTTGATCTCAATGAAATTATGCATATTGAAGGCAAATATATTGGTCAACAACAATGATCTTGTAATTATCCAAGATTTTGAATTTGTTTCCGACAAATAGTAATTGTAATAGATCTTTATCGTTCATATAAACACCAAAAACGATGTATGTTTTTTTTTTCTTCTGATGTACGGATTAATAATACCGATCGTGTGAATATTTCACCCAATGTAGCATAGAATAAACCTGATTCACATGCATACTCACGTGTTGTCCTAAACTAACATTTGCATATAAGAAGAGGAGAAAAGCAACCGCACCACCATGAGCTCCACCACCACCACCGCCGCCGTGCATGCCGCCTTCCTCCTCTTCCTCCTCAATGCCGCCTTCATTCCGGCGGTTTACGCAAAGAACGAAGAACAACCACCCCCTGGCAAAGTCATCGTACTAACCAACAACCACACCAACTACCTAAGCATACGTTGCTTCTCGTTCGACAACGAGTTCGACGTGACCCACCTCCGCTCGTGGGGCCAGTACAAATTCCGGGTGAGGAAGAGAGTTGTGTACCCTTCCTCCACCATGTTCAACTGCTCAACCAATATGGGCACTTTCGTAGCCTTTAAATATGACTACGAATGCTGCAAAGATAAATACCAGACCTGCGATTGGAGATTCGACGAAGATGGTGCTTATAGGTGGGACCCGAAGATGCTCACTTGGATTTCGGTTGATTATGCTCCGAATTACGAGTCACTTAACAGAGGTGGTGTCATCAAAGGGTACTTTGCTAACTAGAACCGAATTTATTCGGAAGAATAATGGGGTGGTTTATGTACGTGTTACGAAATATGAATCATCGTATGTAGTCTAGTTTTTGTGGCACAGATCCTATGTTGGTTCTTGTATAACTCAGAATATAGGAAATAATCGGCTTCGATATTTCCTCAAGTGAATAATTTTCCAAATTGCATGCAAAACTCGGAATAATGTCAAAAACAACTGATTGTTGGTAATTGAATAAGTAAACAAAACAAAAAAACTGCAGAAAGTGTGATGCATGTACCCGTAAAAGGAATAATCTTGCATGCAGATGTGGATCGTTATCAAGATTATCTGCGAGAAAATATCTAACCGTTCGATTAGGAAACTGTAAAACAACTGGAACTGAGGAGAGTGTGTCTGAAAGTAATGAGGTGATGCGGTGATTCTGAAATGCAAAGCGTATTAGCCGTAACTAATGGGAAGGTATCTTTGACTCAACAGCCACTAAAGTTGAGCTTCTTCAATACTTTTGCGTAAGCTGGAGGGACAATACCAGGTTGTCTGAGACGACGTTTAGACTTCTTGGACTGCAAATAAATAAAGGAAATCCTAGATTAGCATCGACTATTAGGCAGTTATTCATTAACAAGTTCAGATTTTAAATGGGAACACATAAAATGAAACACGCGAGAAGATAAATAGAATGATTTGCATGAAAAGGAAAGAGAAAAGAACCACTCATGTATCTAGATTTACTTTTACTACTGAAGAACTAATTTTTTCTCATACTTGCGTAATTTAAAATTACACATCGAAAACATTATAATCATTTCAGGTCGATCAATGGCAGGCTAGATATATACCATGTAGTTTGCACTTTACTAAATGCTTGATTTGTGGGTTATGAATTAAATCAGATGCTCTATTGGAACTCGTTACATGATAATGTGGCACTAACAACCAATAAAGTAATCCAACCAATTTATGTCTTGAACAACAAATTAGCTTATTAAAGTTCTTTCTGACTGCCTCTCGCCTCTTTTAAATTTCGAGAAATTCTGTCGTAAAAAACATAATTATTTCACCAAGTAGGCGGGGAAGCATGTAGAGGACAGTCGATACAAAATATCAAGATAATGCTTTAAACGCTTAACAATGTTTTTAAGCAATAAATCATAAACGAACTTGCAGAAAACCTGCTATGAGAACTAATTCCATTTTTTTTATTTGTATAAGTTGTTAGTAAGATGCAACCGATAACAAACCTTTAAATGTGCGTTGTGCCTCTTTCCCTCCTTCCAGCGCCTGTACTGCCCATCCTTCATTAGCCTAAATCTTCCTTTAAATGAACTAAATACGTAAAATAATAATAGAATCAACATCCTTTGTTAACAAATGATTACGCAAGGAAATGAAAAAAAAAAATCTATACATGTTGACAAAATCGTGTATCATATACGTACGAGTAGCCTTTGATTTTGATTTTCTTGACTTTGGATTTTATTGGAGTCATGGGCTGCCTACTCTTCAACTTCCTTACCCTCTGCTTAGCGGTGATATGCCGCACTTGCGTTAGCTAAAAAAAAAACACAATTTCGAAAGGAAAATTGAATGAGATAACGGTGAGCAAAACCAATATAATTTCATTCAACATGTTATGTTGTTATACATCGATGAGAGCCATTCCATCAGTGAAGTAACTAACAGTTGCTAACTAAATATTTCAATTCGATAATCGAGCCATTCCATAAGTGAAGTAACTAATAGTTGCTAACTGTTAATTTCAATTCGATAAAACATGAAACACAACCTAAGCTTCAAAATGTGTTATCTTCTCAAAATAAAAAAAAATAAAAAAAACATGAAAATCAAGGTACAAACTTTGTAGAAAAAAATAAGCAAGTGTAAGCATTCCATTATGAATAAAATGCGATCAAATTCCTGCAGAAAACTCCATAAAAACAAATATATCTTCCATTTTCCCCTTCTTCGAATCAATCAAAAGAGTTCAAGCAACATAGACATACTTCTTATAGATAAGAGGGAGGGTTTAAAAATTGATACTTACAGAGATTGGAGAGTAGGAAAAATGGGAAAATGGTGGAGCATCGAGCAGCGGCTTGAAATTGGGGGAAATCACGGAATGGGTGAAAGTGGGTTTGTGGAGTAAATTCGGAGAAATGTGGAGGAAACGATTGGAAACGGAAGGGAGGAGGCGGCGGTGGTGGTGGTGGGGTTTAGGAATGGAAGTAACGGCTGCCAAGTGGCGGAGCTTCGAGCACCATCTCTGCATCGTCTCTGCGTGTGTGTGTGTGTGTGTGTGTGTTTTTTTTGGAGGTTTTAGGGATCACAGTAATGGTGAATTAGGGGTTGGGGGAGAGAGACGATTTCTGTAGGTGAAAATAAATTATTAATAAATAAATATTAAATATTAAAATAACAAATTTATGATTAACTCTAAAGTAAATAGTAAAATACAGTTTTGACCTTTCTAATTTTTACTCTTCAACACTTGGCAATATTTGGAAAATAATTTGAGAATGAAAATAATATTTATATGTGATATTTTGATCAGACACAAAAGTTAAATTATGTATCCTTAACATTATTAGTTTATGTAGCTTAGTTATATTTTTACCCATACATTTAAGGGTAAATTACAATCACCCCTGAGGTATGGTCAAATACGAAAAACTTCATTTTGTTTGGATAATTACATCTACCCCTTAATTATGAATTTTCTTACACCTCCACCTTTATGGTGACAAATTCAATATAATCATCTAAATTTCATAGAATGTGCTCTAGTTTGTACTCGTTTTGTGTAAAAATACAGTTTCAAAGCGCATCTTATGATCATCCTGCTTCAAAACGCGGAGCTCGAATGTGATAAAATGGGTACAAAATAGATAATATTCCATATAATCAAGAAGATTCCACTAAATCTGAAACTGCAAGGAGTGGACGTGTAAGAAAATTTATAGTTGAGGGGTTGTTGTAATTACCCAAACATGAGGGGGGTTTTGTAATTTTATCATACATCAGGGGTGGTTATAATTTACCCAACATTTAAATGATATAAATATGCATTTTTTTACTTTACTACTTGACCAATTTTTTTACTTTATTACGTAGCACTTCGGTTGCATCGACAAGTAGTTATAGAAACTAAGCCATGGTGTGTTTGTACGTAAAAATGAAATGCATGAATTTTGAGAATTTAAACAACTGGAAGCATTTTAAATCGAGAAATTTTGGGCTGCAAATGAAATTATAAAATTTTAGAAATTTAAAAAGAATTTCAAAATACTGAGCTCGAAAGGTATAAAACGGGTACTAACTCGAGAATACTCCACATAATCTAGAAGATTCCACTAAATTTGAAACCCTAAGAATGAACATGTAAGAAAATTCATGGTTGAGGGGGTCATTGTAATTATCAAAAAAAAAAGTATTTTTTCGTGATTTACCTTACCTCAGAAGAGTGATCGTAATTTGCCATAAATTATTTTCACAGATAGAAAAAGTAGCCAAGGAACATTTTACTATTCTAGTCATATTATTATAAATATTTTCTTTCTGAAACTCATATATAATTATTAGTTTTGGTAATATGTGTAATGAAAATTGACAATTAATTTGAAAATAGGGGCTCTTTGAGGAAACCTCCTCATTATTTTTTTTAATGGAGAGATGTCCAAAATATTTCAGTCCATTTGAGAAAAGCCCACACCCATTTTGAGCTATTATGCTTTCCAGCTTTGCCCCCACCCGCCACATTATCACTGGGTCACGCGTTCAGCAATTAATTTTTTTTTTTTTTTTTTTTTTTTTTTTTTTTCCGTTTTTCCGTTTTTTTCCCCTTCTTTTCTGTACCAATTTTCTTAATCGACTATGGAGCATAGTCGATTAGCTTTCATAGTCGATTAAGAAAATTCTTTATTTTTATTTATTTTTTGTTTTTTTACTCTTTTTTTCCTATATCAGTATATTAATCAACTATGATGAAGCATAGCCGATCAAAAGTCTGCTACTAAAAATAAAATCAAAACTGCAAAAAAATGCAAAATCAACTATATTTACAAAAAAACAAAAATATAAGAACGTTATAATTGATTTATACAATTGGAATCAATAAACAAAAAAACCAAAAAAAAGAAGAAGATTGGAGTCGATCAACCTTAATCGGTACCAGAGCATAGTCGATTAAGAATCTGCTACTAAAAATAACAAATCACAACTGCGAAAACATGCAAAATCACTTATATATTACAAAAACAGAAAATATACAAACATTATAATTGATTTATACAATTGGAATCAGTAAACGAAAAATCCAAAAGAACTAAAAAAAAATTGGAGTCGATCAACCTTAATCGACTACTAGAACATAGTCGATTAGCTTAATCGACTATAAATATGTACATAGTCGATTAATGTTTCAGCCTGCGCGAAATTCTCTACACGCGCCGTTATCCGCCCAATCCAACAAAAAACCCTAATCTGCCTCCTCGTCGTCACCACACCGCTGCTACAATACACTATTCAACCAATCCCTAACAAGAATAAAATAAATAAATTAAATAATTCATACAAAAAAACACAAATTAACATTTCAATGTCCAAAAAAAAAAAAAAAAGAGAAACGATTCAGTCATCATCTTCAACGTCGTCGGTGGAAACCACCGCCGCGAACTACAGATCCATCACCACCCATCACGCAGCGACGGAAGGCGGTGACAAACACTCTCCACCGCCACCACCACCATCGGTCGATGTCTTGCTTTTCTTCTGAATTTCAGTCGAGAAGAGAAGAGAGAAGACGAGAAGAGAAAAGACGAGAAAAAAAGAAGAGAGAACGACAGAAGAGAGAAGACGAGAAGACGAGAAAAAAAAAAGAGAACGGCAATGGGTTAGTGTATTGAAAAGATTTAATATTAATAAGGATGGTTTGAGAATTATTAAATAATATTTGAGTAGAATATTAGGTAAGAGGGTTTTCTCTAATTATTGTTAGGAGAGAGTGTTTTCTTAACTTATTTTCCTAGATGAAGGGTTCTTGCTAATTATCCCTTGAAAATAAGTAGACAAAAAAAAAAACCTTTATTTATGTTTCCTATTTTAACGGACAAAAGAAAAGGAAAAAGGAAATAGAAGTAACTCACATGCCGATAAATCCTCGTATTATAAATAATAAATTTATTATTTATATATAAGTAGCAGTTATACTATTTTTACGGAGAAACTAAAGTGAAATTTTACAATTGAAGTGAAAATAGGAAAGTACAGACTAGAAAAGTGAAAAGGAAAAGAGGCTTCTTCTTCTTCTCTTCTTTCTTCACAGAGAAACCCTAGATTTGTGCATTGTTGAATTCCCGGCGATTACAAGTTAGCGCTTCTTTATGGTTCGCCAGCATGTGCACACAGATCTAGAAACAGTTCAATTCTGCTGCTCGTTACGAGTTTTGAATAGGGTAAGGGTTTTGTAGAGAGAGAGAGAGTTAGAGAGAGAAAGAGAGGCGGGGTTCGGTTATGTCTGTGCTGTAATTTTCAGATAGAATTGTGGAGGCTTATTTTGTTAGGAAGCTTTGATTCTATTGGTTGAAGATAATTTTTTTTTTAATTCGGGGTTATTAATTTTGTATTTGCTGATCGAGGTTGGATGGTGTTTTAATTTGGTTTTGAGGTTGGAATGTTGAGGAAATTACGCACATTATATTACTCTTGATTTTGGAATTACGAGTTTCTCCCTGCCTTCACATTATTGCTTAGATTTTTTTCATGGTTGATGTATAATTGGATACTGTAATTTGTTGAAGAAGTTTTCGTGGGAAGTAAAGGATCGTGTTTTTTGACTGGAAGTTGGTAAATTTTGCTAAGGTGCTTTAGGTGTCCTCGTTTTTTTTTGTTTGCATTGTTGATTTGGTTACTGGTGGAGATTTTGCGCTGGAGTGGTTGGGGGTGCCCGGAGGCGTCACTATGTCGTCTTTGAGTCGAGAATTGGTATTCTTGATACTTCAGTTCTTGGATGAGGAGAAGTTCAAGGAGACTGTCCATAAGTAAGTAGTTTTCGTGGCTTTTGGCTTACCTTTGCATTTTGTTAATCTTGTTGCGAGTTTTAGTTCGTGATTGATTGTTGTACTTCCCTCTATAATGCAGTAAATGTGGAGTAACAAGGCTTATTATATGGCATTTAGTTGGATTCACTATAAAATAGTGTTGATGTAAATAGATTTCAAGGATATCTGAATTTTATTTCGTTAGATTGGTGTTTTTAGATTTCTTACATGACGTATAATCATCTGCCTCATTTGGACGGTTTAATTGTATTCTTAGCCAAAACGGAATAGACATGCCAATTTATGTACGTCCCCATGCATAAACAGCTACTTGCTTACAAGGAGAATATACTAAAGCAACTCTTGGATGGACCACGGGAAATTGTATTACTTTATGTCTTAATTGTGTCACAAATTCATGTATACTTCCCTTAGGTTGGAACAAGAGTCTGGTTTTTTCTTCAATATGAAGTACTTTGAGGATGAAGTCCAAGCTGGTGAATGGGATGAAGTTGAGCGTTATCTAAGTGGATTTACGAAGGTTGAGGACAACCGCTATTCTATGAAAATTTTCTTTGAGATTAGAAAGCAGAAATATCTTGAAGCGCTTGACAGGTATATGACGGTATCAAAAAATGTAGGATAGTAAATTTGATATTAGTGCTCCCTTTGATAGCTGTTTTATAAACTACGTTTAATGCTTTTCAGACAAGATCGAGCAAAAGCAGTTGAGATTCTTGTCAAGGATCTGAAGGTGTTTGCCTCTTTTAATGAAGATCTTTTCAAAGAGATCACACAGCTATTGACTCTCGACAATTTTAGGTATTAAAATTTTAGTAAAATAGTTTGAATGCAGTTCTGGACCTTTTTTTTATCTTTTGATTTGGTATGGTAATATCTATAGGCAGAATGAGCAGCTCTCGAAATACGGGGACACAAAGTCAGCACGCAACATTATGCTGGTTGAACTTAAAAAGCTTATAGAGGCAAATCCGTTGTTTCGTGACAAACTAGCTTTTCCTCCTTTCAAGGCTTCAAGATTGAGAACACTCATTAACCAAAGGTATATGCCAGCACTCTGATGTCGATATATATAATTCCATTTTGTCTTTTAATTTCCTCTATTATGATGATGTTCGGGTTGCTTATTGCTTCTTTTCGATATTAGATTTCATTATCTGTTTTGCCTTTTTTGAATATCACAATGGTTGATATGCATAATCTTTTAATCGTATTTTCTTATTTGATGGTCTTGCAGTCTTAATTGGCAGCATCAGCTCTGCAAGAATCCACGATCAAACCCTGATATCAAAACACTTTTTGTTGATCATACTTGTAATACGAGTAATGGAGCTCGTGCCCCGCCTCTTACTAACACCCCTCTTACTGGACCAATTCCAAAACCTGGTGTTTTTCCTCCTCTTGGAGGCCATGGTGTAAGTAGAGTAGTTGTTTTAGACTGAAACTGTGATAAATTTCTTTGTATCTCACTCCTTTTTCTTTTTAAAATTATTTCCTTTGCAGCCTTTCCAGCCCGTTGTTTCTCCTCCTCCAAATGTTATGGCAGGTTGGATGTCCCCTGCTAACTCTTCTATACCTCATGCCGCTGTTGCTGCAGCTCCTCCTGGGCTTGTTCAGGCACCTAGTCCCGGTAAATTGTTCTAACAATCAGCATTAGCTTATTCAAAGTCTTCTCACATTACATTAAATTTGAGATTCAGTACAATGTGCACTTACATTACATGATAATGAGATTGAGTGAAGTATGTTCTTTTACCCGTTATTGCCAGCTGCATTTTTGAAACATCCAAGGACTCCTCCTGGTGGTCCTGGAATGGATTACCAGACTGCTGATTCTGAGCATTTGATGAAACGTCTTCGTACTGGACAACCTGATGAGGTGCGGACAACTGTAGATGTGACTCGTTAATATGTTATATTATATTAAGTTTCACCTCTACTGTTTGGTTTCTTATACTGAATGTTCAATGATGATGCACCTCAATATCATGACATACTTTTGATATTGTGTAGATGTCATCATTTTCCGGTTCTACTCATCCGGCTAATATGTATTCACCGGATGACCTTCCCAAAACTGTTGTACGGAACCTTAGTCAAGGATCTAATGTTATGAGCATGGATTTTCATCCGCAGCAACAGACTTTTCTCCTAGGTTGATTCTCGATTATCCACTTTCTTTAGACTAATCTGAATCTTGCATTACGTAACTGCACGGAAATTCCCAGAAGGATGAAATCGTCATTTATATTATTGGATTATACGTGCCTCTGATAATGTGACTAACTGTTATGTACATCGTAGTTGGAACGAACGTTGGTGATATTAGCATATGGGAAGTTGGTTCCCGAGAAAGGTTAGCACTTAAAACCTTCAAAGTGTGGGACATATCAGCTTGTTCAATGCCATTCCAAGTGAGTATTTAATATGCTTGGCTGCTTCTGCCTTTTAAATTTACTCTAAATCTTTCAACTTTTTAATGATTTTGCTTCTGTGTCTTAAGTTTGGTCTCAAATCTCTTATTGATTTTATATTAATATTTTAGAATTTAACTAAGCTTTCACTTTACTTCTTTTCAGACAACCTTGGTTAAAGATGCCACTATATCTGTTAACAGATGTGTGTGGGGCCCAGATGGGTCGATACTTGGTATACAAAATTGTCATGTTATGTCATGCACTTAATTCTGAATCATCTTGTTCGGTAATTGCTGATATTTTATATGTTTTAATTTTGAAGGTGTTGCTTTCTCAAAGCACATTGTTCAGATATATACGTATAACCCAGCTGGAGAGTTGAGACAACACTTAGAAGTGAGAATTATTTTAAAACTCTCTCTCTCATCATACGGTGTTTCAAATACTGATGAATCTTGCCAAATTGTAGATTGATGCTCATATTGGCGGGGTGAATGATATTGCCTTTGCTCATCCCAACAAGCAGCTCTGCATTGTAACATGTGGGGATGACAAGACGATCAAGGTAGCAGCCATTTCATCTATTATGGTCTCGCAATGTGGTATTTTTTCCTTTAACGTTTTACTGTTGTGTTATAGGTATGGGATGCGGTAGCTGGTCGCAGGCAATATACCTTTGAAGGTCATGAAGCTCCTGTGTATTCTGTCTGCCCTCACTATAAAGAGAATATTCAGGTAGTTTATTAGTAATTTGGTTCCTATCTTCTTTAGTGTGGTGCTTTAGAATTTGAAACGATGAACTTTTTAGGCATTATTTGATAGATAAAAATGAGAGAGGGCTATCTGATTCTAGCCTCTGTATGCAGTTCATTTTCTCTACTGCAATTGATGGGAAAATAAAAGCGTGGCTTTATGATTCTCTGGGATCGAGAGTAGATTATGACGCCCCTGGACTTTGGTGCACAACTATGGCATACAGTGCTGATGGAACCAGGTATTTGTAAAATCCTGCTGCTTTGGAAAAGAACTGGTATTTTCTAGGAAATTTTTGTATGTGTTGTTAAGATGGACTTAAAATAAAATTATTGTGCATAGGTGTTTGAAGTGGAACCACTTTGGTAATATGTTTAGATTAAATGGATAGAAGATTTTTAAAGATTTAACCGACAAAATGGGCATGGACCACAATTAATGCTTTAACTATTAGAATGTTTAGTTCAAGGAAATGACGACAGTAAATACCATCCAATGTACTACTCCCCTGCTGAATACTTTAGTCATTGCGAACAATGAAATTGTTGCTTGTTAATGCCTATCTTCTGCAGTTCTTTGCGAATAATGCAATTTACACAGATTACTGTATAGAACAAAAGCATTTATCCTAGTGGAATTATATAAACACATTGGACCCTTCATCCTACGTGAACTAATATTGCAGTATTACTGTACGCTGGCTGGGAACAATGATCTTCGTTTCTGAAGGTTATCAGTTGTGAAGTCCGGGGGAGTTAGGTTTAGAAACTCTACAAAGGTTTTGCTATTGTTCTTTGCTTAAATCATAACATGTACAACTTCTTAAATAATGAGAAAGCAATAGATACTAGCACTGTGGCTGCAGAGTGTCCATGGAGAAATAATAGAATAGTTCTGAACTTACCGGCCTCGGCAAAAGTTGCAGCAATCTGACTTGCGGTTTTTATATTTTGCTCAAGTCAAAACTTTATAGTGTGACAGCTACATTAGATATTGGCTAAACCTCTCAGTTAATTTTTGTATTATTTTGCTAGCTCCGCAGGCTTCATATGGCTGTTGAACTAGCTAAATGTTAGGTATGAAATCCATGTCTTAAGATATAGTTAATTCAACTTGAGGGCTAGCTTGTGCATGTTTGAGACCATTTAATGGAGGAGCTCTGGGCAGCTAGTCACAAAAAAATCTGTTGACCCTACTGAAGAATATGTAGCAATAATACTATTGAACTTAAAAGGAACTCACCCAATTCGATCCACTTGTCTTTTCGTGGTATTAGTAGGTCTGGTAAATTTTTTGAATCTATATCGTGATGAACCAATGGACTAATCTTAGTGAAATGGAAACATTACAAAATATATGTCCACACAGTTCATGTATTAAAGTTCATAAGATGGCTCGGGGGCTGTTCAGTTAGTTATTTGTTTGTATAATCCTTTTCAGGCTCTTCTCTTGTGGAACCAGCAAAGAAGGGGAATCTCACCTGGTCGAGTGGAATGAGAGTGAAGGAGCAATAAAGAGGACATATTCTGGTTTTCGTAAGCGTTCTTTGGGTGTTGTGCAATTTGACACAACAAGGAACCATTTCTTAGCAGCCGGTGATGAGTTTCAGATAAAATTTTGGGACATGGATAATACCAACATTCTTACTTATACTGATGGTGATGGTGGACTTCCCGTAAGGATCTGTAGCATATTCAACTTGATTTATTTATTTAATTATCATAAAATTGTAAAATTATTCTGTATTATTATTGCAGGCAAGCCCTAGATTAAGATTCAATAAGGAAGGTTCTTTGCTGGCTGTTACAACTAGTGATAATGGAATTAAAATCTTGGCAAATAATGATGGGCAGCGCATGTTGAGGATGTTGGAGACCAGAGCATTTGACGGGGCACGCGGTCTTTCTGAAGCGGTTAATGTCAAAGTAATTTTTTTTTTTTTTGCTTTTTCGTGTTTTGCTTTCGACTTTTTCAATTATTTTTGTTGTAATTTTCTCCTACATATCTCTTTGTACAGCCTATTATTGGTGGTCCTTTAGGTCCCATTGCTAATGTTTCTTCGTCAGCATCACCCATCCACGAGCGTCCCGATAGAATTCAGCAGGCCATGTCCCTTCTGGTAATGCTTTCATTTTCTTTACCGGACTTGCTTTTTTTAATCAATCAGTTGGCGGATTCTGTTTATCAAATTTTGTGTGTCGTAGAATCTTCTGCTCATTTGATTTTAAACCAATTACAGGGTAACATGGAAAGCAGTAGGGTAGCGGATGTAAAACCAAGGATTGATACCACTGACAAAATTAAAAGCTGGAAGTCCCCTGACATATCTGACTCGTCTCATGTCAAGACTCTGAAATTGCCCGATTCTCAGACACCAAGCAAAGTATGTTACAGGGGTGGATGATTTGTCGAATCGACATACATCTGTTCTTCCTTTGTTTTAAATAGTTTGATTTCGCAAGAAGATAATTAGATTTTTATTGAGTCACGGGTGCTTTTCTTGATTAACCACTATAAATAATGTCCTGCAGATTGTGCGGTTACTATACACAAATTCTGGGCTAGCAGTGCTAGCATTGGCTTCAAATGCTGTTCATAAACTTTGGAAATGGCAGCGCCACGAACGCAATCCATCTGGAAGGGTCAGAAAAGTGTTTCATTTTCTTTGCGACATGATTTAATTAGCTCTCTCATTTCATTTAATCTAAACGATTTGATGTGTACTTTCAGTCTTCTGCCTCTAGCGTGCCACAGCTGTGGCAGCCTCCGAACGGGGCTCTCATGTCTAACGACCTGAATGATGGCAAACAACCAGTTGAAGATTCAGTTGCATGTATCGCCTTGTCTAAAAATGATTCTTACGTCATGTCTGCTTCAGGGGGGAAGGTCTCCTTGTTCAACATGATGACTTTTAAGGTTGATTAACAAACTTTCTTGAAAATCCCGGAAATGATTGTTCGAGAATATTTGCGTTTATGCTCTCTATTTGGAACTAATATGTATTATTTAATTCTGGTCAGGTCATGACAACTTTCATGGCGCCCCCTCCTGCAGCAACGTATCTGGCGTTTCATCCTCAAGATAACAATATAATTGCTATTGGAATGGAAGACTCTACAATACAGATTTACAATGTCAGGGTTGATGAGGTAAACTCTCTGCTCAGCTGTTAGTCGACTTGAATTTTGTTACCATCTTTTTTTATCTTTCTGATTTTAAGGAATTTAGTAACTATATTTGACATACATGTTGTGTGAACTTATAGGTTAAAACCAAGCTCAAGGGCCACCAGAAGCGAATCTCAGGGCTTGCATTTTCTCAAAGTTTGAACATATTGGTTTCATCCGGAGCTGATGCACAGGCAAGTCTTATCGATTTTACCTATATACATTTTCTACGTTGAAATATTTCCGATTCATTGTGATTTTTTATGATTAATTTGCATTTTCTACGTTAAAATACTTCTCAATTTCAATTGCAGCTTTGTGCATGGAGCATTGATGGATGGGAGAAGAAGAAATCACGGCCGATACAACCCCCACCTGGTCACCTATCTCCATTGGTTGGAGAAACTAGGGTTCAATTCCATAACAACCAATCCCATGTACTCGTTGTTCACGAAAGCCAAATTGCTATTTACGATGCTCAACTTGAATGTTTGCGCTCGGTGAGTGCCTTTGCTCTATGCTATTCATTTTTCTTCCAGAGAAGTATGATAGATACGATTCTTTGTTTTCGCCCGCCATCCAGAAATTATTTACGATTTTAAGTGATGATTTCATTCAATTGCAGTGGTATCCAAGAGATTCACTCGGCTCTCCCATTTCAAGTGCTATATACTCGTGCGACGGCCTTTTGATCTTTACCGGATTTTGTGACGGTGCTGTCGGAATCTTCGATTCCGACAGTTTGAACCTCCGATGCCGTATTGCACCATCTGCGTATATATCTTCATCAATTTCCAAGTATGCACAACATTATCGAAAAAACCCCTTATCCCATCCGTTTTCAAGATTCTCCTCTTATCAACTGTTCTTTTGACATCGAAAAATCTTCTTTTTTTTGTAGCAACAATGGGAATGCGTTTCCGGTGGTAATTGCAGCACATCCATCAGATCCGAATCAATTTGCCCTTGGAATGAGTGACGGAGCAGTTCATGTGATTGAGCCTTCGGATTCAGAGGCGAAATGGGGTGGATCGACTTTGCAAGAAAACGGGGCTTTACCTTCAAATCCATCGAGTTCTGCTTTGAATAACAATAATAATAACAACAATAACAATAATAATAATACGCAGCCATCGGAAACTCCATCTAGGTGAACAAACAAACAATACTGCAAGAGGGCCTCTACGTTAAATACAGAATACTTCTACTAGGTACTATTGTAAAGTCTTCTTCATCGTCATCATCATCTATCTCCATTATCGATCTTCGTCGTTTTGTTTAGGTGTAGAACTGCAGAGAGTCTTAGTTTTAGTTTACGTGTTAACCACTTTACTGGGTTGCCCTTCCCATCTTTGTACTTTATACCCCATTTTCCTTTTTTTTTTCTTATTGTTAAATTAAATTTATTATAGATGTTAATTTTCTAAGCATTTACGATGTCTTTGTTGGTTCGAATCCATGTCGGAGAAGTAAAAAAAAGTCGTACTTAATTGCACTAGTACGTTTTTTTATTGAACGAAAGGTTGCAGCTAATTGCGAATGGTTTGAGACAATCATCATTATTAACCTTGTTGTAGACAATAGGCACTCATTATTAAGAACAACAAAGAACATAAATAGATTGAAAGAGTATTATCAACATATAACTATTAGAAACCAATTACATAGAAAGAAGTGTTCCATCGTAAACTGTTTCGAAATACATCTTCGCACGAAGGAAACAAAAAAGCCGGGATGACCAAAAACATTCATCCACTAGTCAAATTCGCTCGATTTCATTAACTCAAAATCTATATCTATATCTATAATATATATTATATGGGCTTAAAAATGTAGCTAACCAATTGCTGCTAATATCTTACTGAAAACAAGTTCGACAGAAACACAAGTCCTGGTCAGTACTGCATCTCCTTCGTTAAACTTCTTCATAAGAGGTTTCTCGTTTATCCGCATTCCGTTTTCACCGGCTTTCACATCCTGCACGTAACACACGGGAGTCCTCTTTGAAGTTCTCCAAACAAGTTTACGAGGAGAAACACTTAGCTTCTGAGGAGGCAGAGTTTCCCTCAACGCTCGGATTTGTAGAGGATATCCGATTATTGCTTCACCGTTTAATTTACTTGTCAGACAAACAAACGGGACATTCTCTGATCCTTGGATCGTCTCAACACTCAAATGCACATCAATCAACGATGTTTCGTTGCCTGTAATTCCTCCACTTTCGGTATTATCAGTTTTAAGCTCGTCAAGGAGCTTCGATTTTTTTGTCTTTTCACCATCTAGAGAGAGAGAGAGAGACAGAGAGAGAGAGAGAGAGAGAGAGAGAGAGAGAGAGAGAGATCCGTTATGTCTCTTCTACTGGTAAAGTAACAATAAGTCGATAAGAAAGTTATTACACATAAAAAAACAAAGGCCGATTACCTGAAAAATCACCAACGGTTGCATTTTGCTCTATGCCATGTATTTTTAAGTCGGTTTTTCTAACACAGTCATCGAACTCGGCGCATCTCTGTTCTTTCACCGGGTTTGCTTCATCCAAGTTATACCATTCCCTGACAGTTGATTAACATAATGAATTCAATACATCTTATTATTTTCTATTAACAAACTTAGCACGAGGCAAACGATAAATTATCGAGCAGTGACTTTCGTCTGACAAAACGGGCTCGGAAAAATTGAAAAAAATTAAATCGAAACAAAATTTTTCTTGACAACTTAGAAGTAAAATGTACAAGCATAGGGTAAGGTAAAGTTGGCAAATTAACCTCGGATAAATTCGTTTACAGAGAGCGAAAACCATATGAAATAGAGATTCTTTTCTGGCCATGTAATAAAACTAGCAGATTTTCTAGCTTCTATTCACACACACACACACACACAGACACACACACACACACACACATACACACACACACACACAAAGTACCATTACACACAAAATAGAGATTCTTTTCTGGGCATGTAATAAAACTAGCAAAGTTCATTTTTCTAGCTTCCATTCACACACACAGACACACACAAACACACACACAAACACAAACACACACACACACACACAGAAACACACAAACACACACACACACACACAAAGTACCATTACACACTCAAACAAACACATGGAAACAGAATAACAGAAAATGATAAAACACAAAAAAATACAAGTGTAATATGATTCGAAAAAGGTAGCTGAGATTATTACACAGAGGAATCCTCTTTGCAACTACGTCGTTTCATGGGGTTCTTGGAAATTTTCTGGGGCTATTTCTTTCTTTCTTTATAGCTTTTCCTTTAGACTTTGGGATGAAAAAAAATCAGTAAAATGGATAGAGGGTTTCTTGTTTACAGCTTGTCTTCTCCGGATTTTGCTTTTCTAGAGAGAGAGAGAGAGAGAGAGTACTTGTTGTCCAATGGCGGTTTGCTACCTGTTTTTTGAATGTACGGACACACTGCTCTTTTTTTTTGTCTTATCCTTTCTTTACTCTTTTTTTCTTCTTTTTTTGGGTAAATTACAAAAAACCCTTAAACTTATGCTAAATAACGAAAACACCCCCATCTATTCGTAGTTACCAAAACCCCCAGATATTTTCTTTTATTTCTCACCTATTTAACAGAAGCTATAATAGACTCTACACATTTTATGTTACAAAAACTCGATAAACAATTAATCAAAGGATGATTCCAGTTATTATGGATAGGTGGGTTTTTTTTTTTATTATTTAACCTAAGTTCAAGGGGGTTTTCGTAATTTACCCCCTATTTTTTTTTTCTTTTGTTAGTAATGACTTTTGAACATTATTTTTCAAATTTTTATTATAAGGCGTGTCATATTTGTAAAGTTACATAATGAACCCTAGTGTTGGTCCCATTAAGCCTAGTAGCCAAGCCCATAACAAACTGCTAACTTGTCCCAACATTGAGTATTGTTTGTGAACGTTACTAATTATGAGTAAAATTTAAAATGGTAAATATGGCAGCCCCTGAAATAACAGGTTTGAATTACGAAAAAATTTCATCATGTTTCCTTAATTACAATTATCCCTCAACAATAAATTTTCTTACACGTCCACTATTGCGGCGTCAAATTTAGTGGAATTTTCTACATTATGTGGAATATTCTCCAGTTTGTACCCGTTTTGTCCCATTCGAGCTCTACATTTTGAAACAAAATGATCATAACGGATTGTATCATAAACTGCCATTTGCACAAAACGAGACAAACTATAGAACATTCCACAAAATGAACAAGATTATGTTGAATTTGACACCATAACAATGGACGTGTAACAAGATCCACAATTGAGGCGTGAGTGTAATTACCTAAACATGAGAGATTTTTTTCTTCATAAATTAACTTCACCTGAGGAGGCAACCCTAATTTACTCAGTTTAAAATTTATTCAAGGAATGATTCTTTTACGCATTTCACTTGGTTCCAGGCGAAATCGCCGTTTTTTTCGGCTTCGACTTTTTGGTTGCTTTTCGGAATTTTGAAGAACGAACAGAAAGAGCAAAAACGAATTCAGTTTTTTCCAGGCATTTTTTTCCACATTTTCAATTAATTTTTTTAAGAATCATAATCTACGAAATAAAACGAACTTAAGAAAGTAAAAGCTACCAAAGAGCAAAAATTACCTCCGATCTATTGACGTACGTCTCGAAAACTTCAAAAAAAATCGAGAGTTTAAGAAAGTTCAAGAGAATTTGAATTTTTAAAATTTTAATAATGAATAAAAAAGTGCTTATGTATAATTTTAACAACCCTATAAATAGCTTTCCTATTTCAAAATTATTGGAAATGAAAAACCTCTGCGCTAGGGTTTAAGCTATCCCTGCTATATTTCTCTAGAGTATATTCCGATGGCATCTTCCGTCAGATTATTGCTCTCCAGAGCTTCACACCGGAACGTATTCCATTCTCCCCGGCCGTCTCATCTGAACAATTTTCTCTTATCGAGTCTCCACTCCTTTCTCTCTCATCCCGAACCATATTTCCATTCCCATTCTAGAAACTTCTCCGCGGAATCCATCACCCAAGACTTGAATTCTTCTGTCGCCGCCGCTCTGAATCTAGACAACCGTATTCCGGCCACCGTCATCACCGGATTTCTCGGCTCCGGAAAGGTGTGAATTTTTTTATTTTATTTTTTTGGTCGGGGACGGACGCTTATTTTATTTGTACTGTATGTATTTATTTGTCTTTTTTGGTGATGCAAGAAGAAAGTTATATAATAGTTACTTATTGATATTTATTGTATTTCTTTTAATGAGGTAAAATTGATTGTGTTGTGAGTAAAGCTTAAATCTTTATCATGAATTAATTTGGTTTGTTGAGTTATTGTCGAAATGGTGGTTCACGAATCACGACGAATGATCTTGAATTACACATGTCTTAGCTTCTTTAAATCTCCCTACAGACTATAGAAAAGGTTTCTATTTGCCCGTTCATTTCTTTTTCACGCGTAAACAATTGCTTGGACTGATGGCTTGAAAGTTATTTTACTGTGTTTGTCACAATAGAGGAATCAGTGTGATTTTATATTCAATTCGCACAATAGCGCTTCAACCATGGATGGGTTATAAGTTTCGATTGTACATTGTGTATGTACGTGTATAATTTGCGTGTAAATGTTCTGTATATTTTACTTTCATATTATATGTGGCAGACCACTCTTCTGAATCATATATTGACATCCCAACATGGAAAGCGGATTGCTGTCATAGAGAATGAGGTATGACTTCCCTTTTTGGTTTTGGCATTTTGGATATTAACTTCTGTAGTGACCAATTTCTTTCCCGGGATCCATATTTGTGCTATATTAAGTTTTTTAACCATGACATCATGAAAAAGGTGAGGTGGAAAAGAATCAAGATATTAAGCATAGGTTACCCTTGAGATTATGAAAATATGGGAATTCCAAGAAATTGATGATCTATTAGATGTCATGAATAATGAGATAAATAACTCGAGAATCAGTATTCTTGTCAAGCAGTACGTCAATGTGTGTGTATATATAATATATATATATATATATTTCTTTTAATTTGTGATACTTTTGGGTGCAGTTCGGTGAAGTAGATATTGATAGTTCGTTAGTTGCCAGTCATTCCTCATCCAATGATGACATCATCATGGTCAACAACGGTTGTCTATGTTGTACCGTGCGTGGAGATCTTGTCAAAATGCTATTGGAATTGGTCAACAAGAGGCGGGACAAATTTGACCACATTGTTATAGAAACAACCGGTATGTCAAATAATGTGAATCGATAAGAACTACACTGTTTACTAGTGTTTTTGTTCCTTGTTTCTTCTTTTCATTCTTTTATGTATCTCTGTGTAAAACGTAAGTATTTGTTGAAGTGGATTAACAATGTCATGGCGTTTAACGCCATTCTTTTTTTTATTATTCAGGTCTTGCAAAGCCTGGTCCTGTGATTGAAACGTTTTGTAGTGACGAGCTGCTTTCACGCCATGTGAAACTCGATGGAGTTGTTACTTTGGTCGATTCTGTAAATGTCACTAAACATTTGGATGAAGTGAAACCTAGGTTTGTGGTGAATGAGGCTGTGGAACAAATTGCTTATGCGGACCGTATTATTTTGAATAAAGTATGCATTTTTTCTGTTCGTATGGGATTTTTTTTCTCTTTTTTACTTTACATTGGGAGATTCTAGGGTTTCTGTTGTGCTTATGCTTGTCGGTTAATGTCGACAGATAGATTTGGTGAGCGAAGCTGATGTGGATACATTAAGAAAAAGGATTAAGGTGGGTGTCGTGTTCTTCTATTTGTTATAAATAAAGACCGTTCATTTGCAATGCAATACGTGCTGGTTGATTTTTGATACTAGCGAAATAAAATTATACGACGTGTGATTTCTTTCACATAGTTCTTCTTCCATCAATTTGGAATCCAAACGAACATTGAAATTTTTTATTTCATTAATTAAATCGGTATCAACTGTAATTGTTGGTATCACTTTTCCAGCTTATCAATGGAATGGCGCCAATAAAGCTAGCGAAGCATGGTTTAGTTGACATGGACTTTGTTTTGGGAGTTGGTGGTTATGATCTCGACAGGTATTTTTTTTCATCATAAATTCATTTATTGCAAAAAAATAAATAAATAAATTGAAGTATTTTTCATATTTTAGTATTGATCATGCTAAATTAATGATTTTTTTCTGATATTTAAATGCATCGTCTTCTGCAGAATTGATTCCGAAGTTAAACCAGATGATTCTCATTGTTCTCATCATCATGAAACCGGGCATGGTGTGTATTATGCTATATATCTTAACTATTCATACTAAATCTTATTCTTGATATTCTTCTCGAGTTATTTCTGCAATTATCTTTTTTCAAAATTTGTATGCAGAATTAAGTTTATTAAAAAAAAAAAAAAAAAAAAAAAATTGTTACCCGTGCTTTAGTGATTTATATACTACTATTCTTATAACTTTGCAACCTCGTTTTTTATAGAGCATCACAAAGGGCATCATCATCATAATCACGTACACGATTCTGCCGTCACCAGTGTCAGTATTGTTTCTGAAGGAACTTTAGATCTCGATTATGTAAGATTCTTGCTTCTTGCTAATTGCTGTCTTTTTTTTTTTTTTTTTTTTTAATAAATACATTTAAAATTCTGATTATTGTAATATTGGTGCTGGTAATAATACAGTTCGATGATTGGCTCGAAAGATTGATAGAAGAGAAAGGTGATGACATGTACAGAATGAAAGGAATATTATCAGTGACCGATTCTGAACAACGATACGTTTTCCAGGCAATAAATATAATCTTATTTCTTCATTCGTGTTAAAATAGTTGTGCTGTCTGAAATTTTTTAATCCTCGATTCCTTGTTTTTCTTTAATTAGGCGGTGCATTCTATTTTCGATGGCTGCCCAGGCAAGGAATGGGACCCGGAGGAGAAAAGGGTAAACAAAATTGTATTTATCGGGAGGAATTTGGACGAAAATGCCCTTAGGAAAGGCTTTAGAGGCTGTTTAGTGTGAGTAGAGTCGACTAACGGAAGCTTCCGTTGATAGCTTACACTAGCGCGAGGAAACGTACTACGGTCGTTAGAAGGTTCTGCAACTGTGATCGATCTTTATTTTATCTAGAAGGAAAGACGAAGAAATTTGTAAAGTTTTTCACAGGACCAGGTTACAAAAATAATATTAGCCAAAATCCTCCTATAATGCAACTTTTTTTTTTTTTTAGCAAACTACCCCCTAAACCTCACCATTTAGGGGATGGGTGATAAACTAATGTATTATATGGGGTTTTGTTGGTAATATTAATAACAAGGGGACTTTTTGGCAATTTGATTTAAATTTAATAAACGAGTGTTGGTATTTACTGAAATTCATTAAACCTTGCCTCGGGAATGGGTATGGATTGCTATGTTTCATCTGATATTTACAAGTCGAGCGATACATTTTAATTTTTCTTGTTTCAAAATGTGGAGCTCGTATGACGTAAAACTGGAAAATATTCCACATAATCTAAAATATTCCATTAAATTTAACACGCAATGATGGACGTGTAAGAAGATTCATAATTCAGAAGGATGGTTGTAATTACCTAAATATGATGGGCGTTTTTCGTAATTTAAACATATCTCAGAGAGTTGTGAGAGTAATTTAACCCTATGTAATCTACACACGTTGGCAAAATTATTCTAAATAAATAAATAAATAAAAATGGGCCAATCAGATTATGCCACCTACTAGCACCACAGTCCACATAAATATTTATCTGTGAGCAAAATTGAAACTAAAAAAAAAAAAAAAAAAGAAAAAGTTCAAACTCAACTACGAAATCTTGAGCTGTGATTTCAAAATGCCGTTATTAAATTATCCAACGGTTTCTTGGTTTCCAATTCTATCATCTTCATCTTTGTCCAATTCACAGGTTCTTTTTATTTATTTATTAATTAATTAACTTATTTATTTTTTCCATTCTTACAACATGTAATCAAGAATGTTATTGCATTGCAACTTCCTAAAGTTAATATTGCTTCAAAAATATGCAGGGCCTTATTACACATGGAGGGTTTCTTCGAATCGAGAAATCGAAACGTATATTATGCAATAAAAAAACCGTTGTCCGAAAATTGTCGAGAAATCTCGATTTTGTGATTAATGCCGCCGCCGCTGCTGGTGCCGAGAGTGGTTCTTCCGTAGATTTTGATGTGCCTTTTCCAATTGATTATACACAACTTCTTTATCAAGTAATCTTTCTCTATTTTAAATTAGTGTTTTTTTTCGACATAATCACGATTGCCATTTTTATCGAACATTTCGTACAATTCTCGAAAAATCGAACAAACAACTTCGTAAATTACTCGATGTGAATCAAAATTTAGCCGATTTTGTAATGACTAATGATTAACAGGCCAAAGAAGCAACCGAATCGGCACTAAAGAACAATGTGCAGTTAATGGTAACTCGATTTTCGTTATTCTCTTCTGTTTTTTTTTTGTTTTTCGTTTTCGTTTTATAGTAACGACAGAAGAATAAACATACAATGTACCATACTAAAAATTGTCAGAGTTTGTGAGAAACAAGTTTCTGCAACAGGAAATCGAATTCCCGACGTCTGGTTTGGAATCTGTACCAGGTAATAAGTATCTTTATGCCTTAAGACACCTTTCGAAAATAAAATCAAATAAATTGTCTTAAAATTTTAATATTTATTTTTACATGCAAAAAATTTCGTGTTTATTATATATGATCAGGCGACGGTGAAGGCGGTATAGAAATGACAGGGAGTATGCAACTTATTCGTGAATTTTGCGACCTCGTCATTACTCCAGAGAAAGTCACACGGACTCGAATTGTACGTTCGGAATTCAGAACTTTTATTTAAAGATTATTCAAATATTTTTCTAAATATAATGTACAATGGTATTTTCGTAAATGTGTATATAGTTCTTTCCCGAGGCCAACGAAGTGGATTTTGCAAGAAAATCGGCATTCGGAGGATCTTCATTGAAATTGGACTACTTAACAAAACCGTCGTTTTTCGAAGATTTCGGCTTCGGAACGAAAGTTAAAATGGCTGACAGAGTAAAGCCGGAAGACGAACTTTTCTTGGTTGGATATCCGTATTTTAATGTTAATGGTAATATTTCTTAGTCTTTTGTCTCTAAATATATATAAATTTATATACATGTATATATATAAATTTTGGTGATGGCTTTTTCGATGCGATGAAGAGATGCTTGTGGTTGAAGAACTGTATAAAGAAGCTGTGGTCGGGACTTTGCGTAAAATGATTATATTCAACGGTGAACTTGACAGAATACGATCCGGCTGTATCCTTAATTAGTTTGTTCATAATTGTATTTTGGTGTCGGAAAAGACTGCGTTTTTTTATCCATGAATTTTTTTCTTTTCGTTATGTCGGAATATTTGAAGTTTTCGATATTGACGTACGATAAAAAAGATTATCCGGCGTTTTTCTATCCGAAACTGGCTGCACTGACGCAATCGTTTCTGCCGAAGATGGAGACTGTTTATTACATTCACAACTTCAAAGGTCGAAACGGAGGTGTCCTTTTCAGGTTCGATTTTGCATCTCTTTCTAAATTTCGTATTCTTTCAAGTTCAAATTAATTATATTATCATAGAACTTGCTGCATGTTTTAGTGTTTTTAATCTCTCTCTCTCTCTCTCTCTCTCTCTGTGGCAGGAGCTACCCTGGACCATGGAAAGTAATTAAAAGAGTGAGAAACAAATATGTATGTGTGCATAAGCAGGAAAAGATGCCATCACTTAAGGAAGTTGCTTTGGAAATTCTTCCTTCAGCATAAACTCTGTATGCATGTATATATATGCTTATATATATATACTTTCTATGAATCAACTTTGGCTTAATTCCACTTTGCACCCTTGAAATATGCCATTTTGGCACTTTGCACCCTCGAAACAAATTAATAGCACTTTGCACCCTCGAAACACAATAAATCATTCACAATGCACCCTGAATTGAATAATAAAGGCAATTTTATTTTTCATTGGTGTTTTTTTTTCGGGGTGCAAAATAAAAAAAAATAAATTGTTATTTTCTTGAACCCCCAACCTAATTTCGAGCGGACAAAGTGCGAAAAAATAAAAACTACACGGATTATTTAAAAAGCCTACATTTTCTTACAAAATAAAAAATAAAAAATAAGCTTTTATCACTAAATTATTCGATTGATGGAGCTTTTATGTAACTGTTTGAAAATATTAGGTGAAAATACTTGGAAGAAAATATGATTTTCAGATAACTTGATAACGAAATAGTTGAATGATTTTTTTTTCGTAAAATATTTGATTTTTGTTATAAAAAAAATTAATATATATATAAAATTTATTTTTATTTTTGAACTTTATAGTTTCAAAATGATTGATGAATAAAAAAAATATTTGAGATTTGGCATCCTAAAAAAAATACCACTAAAAATATTAAATTACATTTTTTAGCTTTAAAAATTCATTTGGGGTGCATTATGCATGATTTATTGTATTTCGAGGGTGCAAAGTGCTATTAATTTGTTTCGAGGGTGCAAAGTGCCAAAATGGTATATTTCAAGGGTGCAAAGTGGAATTAAGCCAATCAACTTTATATATCTTTCTTTATATATTGTATTCTATCTATCTCTCTCTTTTTGTTTCTAAGATAGGAGCTTGGTATGAATTTTTAAAATTACTAAATAAATCCTATAAGCAAACAATACTTATAGGAGCTTATTTGCATAGAATAGATGATGAGAAAATAAAACTAGTCACTAATTATTTTTAAATGATTTTAGAGAGAAAAGTCTTTATTTATTAAGCACAAACTCCACATTGGTATGATATTGTTCAAATTGGGCCGGGCCCAACTGATTTTGCTCTTGGGTTTCCCCAAAAGGCCTCATACCAATGGAGTTACTATCCCCTCCTTATAAAGGATAGATCTTTCCCATATTTAACCGATGTGGGACATTGTTTGCACCTCAACAATCCTCCCCTCGAACAAAGTACCACATAGGTCGGACCACAAAGGACCACCGAGCCTCCCCTCAATTTGCGCCTGGGGCTCACACCACCGAGCCTCCCTCCTGGAGCTCGTCGAGCCGCCTCCATTTGCGCACCGGGAGCTCACCATTTTTTTGTTCGGCACCGAGGATTCGAGAATTTCCACCACATGGTTAGGTCTGGGCCATGGCTCTGATACCACTGTTGAGTGGCCGTTCAAATAGCATTAATATTACAGACCTTTAATCAAATGAATTACAATGATTAATAAGCCTAAGGGGAAGGGGATTAGGACTTAATAAATAAATTACAAAAATAATAATAATAAGAACGAATCTGGGGCAGATCGAAAATCTGCCCGTTTTCAGCTCCGGTGGAGAAGATGACACATTAACGGCTCAGTCCTCATTTCCCGTGTCCACGTCCGGAGTCCAGTCGGGGGCAGCCAGCACACTCCCGGTGTCAAGCTCACAGATCCACGCCCAGCAGTCAGAACTTCATCCGAGTGCTCAGATCTCAGCCTCACTCCGACTGTATAGTCTCAACCCAACCCAAAAACCCCAACGAATCGAACTCACACACACAGTGTCTCCCCAGATCTGTTACCCTCACTCACAGAGGTCACAAAACCACTCACCACAGAGAGGTTTAAGACAAGAAGGTAGAAGATGAGAATATTTCGTTGTTCTCTTCATCTTCAAGAAGGGAAAGAGAATCGACCGAATCTCCGACCGCCATGGAATCCGGCGAAAGATTCGGCCGCCGAGAAGAGAGAGAAGAGAGAAGGTGCAGCTGCTAGGTTAGGGTTTGAAGGCTTAGAGAGAGTGGGGTGATATATATATGTGGCATGGATGGCTGAGATCGAGACTTATCAATCAACGGTCCAGATTGAATCTGCTTGGGCTTTAAGTGAGCTAATAGGCCGACACCAAGGGAGTGGGCTGCACAAGATGTGTTAGCAATTTTGGGCCAAATAAACATTTGGGCCCCTTTTATCTAACAATCTCCACCTGGGACCAAATGGACTATCGGGACAAAATTGGGATATGAGGTCATCATTGCCGTTTTAAATGTACCTGCACAACAAAACACAAAGTCAGCAACGTACGTTAAAAAATTAATCACACAGATTAAAAATAGGGGCAGTCACTAAGACAGCCCTATAATTACACACAGTAATTAAGATTGAGAGATTAGGCTCAAGCTTTTTAAGCAAGAGCGAAACTTCTCGAGTGGTAGACACTTAGTACCCATATCTGCTGGATTAAATTGTGATGAGATTTTTTCCAGCTTAATAATACCCTGTTCCACAATATTACGAATAAAGTGATACTTAATCTCAATGTGTTTAGTACAATCGTGGAAAACCGGGTTTTTACATAATTGAATTCCTGATTGGCTATCCGAGTAAACAGTGACACCCTTTTTAAGAAAACCAATTTCGCGCAGAATGCCTTTAAGCCATATGGCTTCTTTCATTGCCTCGGTGGCAGCGATGTATTCAGCCTCGGTTGTAGATAGGGCTACAATATTCTGCAGTTGCGATTTCCAACTAATGCATGATCCACACAAAGTGAAAACGTAAGAAGTGGATGATTTCCTACTGTCTCTATCATTCGCAAAGTTGGAGTCAACATAGCCAATTAATTCAATTTCAGTTTCAGATTTAGAAAAATTTAGGCCAATATGCAAATAATGTTTCAAATAACGAAGAAGCCATTTCAAAGCTTCACAATGCGGCATACTTGGGTTCGACATATAGCGACTCAAACAACTTACCGCATAAGCTATATCAGGACGAGTGCTTACCATCAAGTACATCACATAACCTATCGCATTGGCATAAGGAACATTTTGCATAGAGTCAATTTCAGTTTCAGTCTTGGGGGACTGATCCTTACTTAATTGAAAATGGGCAGCTAAAGGCACGTTTGCAGGTTTAGCATTAGACATGGCAAATTTTTCTAAGATCTTACTCACATAATAAATTTGATTCAAGAACAACAAATTATTATCTCGATTGCGATCAATGTTCATGCCCAATATTTTCTTAGCATCCCCTAAGTATTTCATGTCAAATTGTTCACTTAGACACATTTTCACATGATCAACAGATTTCACACAATGGCTGATTATGAACATATCATCAACATAGATCAACAAGAAAATAGGCACAGAGCGAGTATCTTTGAAGTAAAGACAAGGGTCATAATCACTTTTCTTAAACTTCAACGAAAGCATGCAAGAATCGAATTTCTTATTCCATTGCCTAGGTGATTGTTTCAAGCCATATAAAGATTTTTTCAGCAAACACACATATTCATGCTTTTTAGCATCTACGAAGCCCTCGAGCTGTTTCATGTAAATATGCTCATCTAACTCACCATGCAAGAAAGCAGTTTTTACATCCATTTGTTTCAATTCCCAATTAAAATGCGCAACTAATGCAAGCATAATACGAACGGTGGTAAATTTAACAACGGGAGCAAAAATTTCAGTATAATCTATACCTTCTTTTTGCGTGAAACCTTTAGCAACAAGACGAGCCCTATACCTAATGGAGTCTACCTCATCCTTAACCTTAAACAACCATTTGCAGTCTACCAAAGAGCAATTAGCAGGTTTAGGAACAAGAGTCCAAGTTTGATTAACATGCAGAGAGTTCATTTCTTCTTTCATAGCATTTAACCATTCAGCTGATTTATCAGATTTTACAACATCCCTAACAGTTTTAGGTTCATTGCTATCTATAGATTCAAACACATTGAAAACATGAGAAGCAAGATGAAAACTATCAAAACATTGTGGGGGCCTAGCATTTTCACGTCTAGGTCGATCTCTAGCAAGTTGATAATCAGACAAGTCATCCACATTAGGCAAGTCATGTTCAACATTTTGGTCATGCAAACTTTCAAGTATTTCAGATTCAATATCAGGCAGATTTTCAGATTTAACAGTAGACAACTCCACCTCATTTGGAGTAGCCTCTGAATTCACAGCATTATGCACAACAGGGCAAGGAAAAATAGATACATTAAAAATCACATCACGACTAATAACAGTTTTATAGCCATGTTCCCCTTTAACCCAAAGTCTATAACCTTTAACCCCTTCAGGATAACCCAAGAAAACACATTTCACAGAACGAGGTTCAAGCTTATCACTTTTATGATGCATGAATGCAGCACAACAAAAAACACGTAAGTTGGAAAAATCAACCTTTTTACCCGACCAAACACATTCAGGCAAATCACCATTCAAAGGCACAGAGTGAGATCTATTAATCAAATATGTGGCAGTCAAAACAGCCTCACCCCAAAACATAGTTGGTAAACCCGAAGTGGCGAGCATGGCTCGAACCCTCTCTAAAAGAGTTCGATTCATGCGTTCAACCACCCCGTTTTGCTGAGGGGAGTAAGGAACAGTTTTGTGCCTTTTAATACCAGATTCAGAGCACATAACATCCATTTCTTGATTACAAAATTCTGTACCGTTATCTGTCCTAAGGGTTTTTATCCGTTTTCCTGTTTGGTTCTCAATATAAACTTTCCATGTTTTGAACTTATCAACAACATCAGATTTTTGTTTCAACAGGAAGACAAACACCTTACGAGAGAAATCATCCATTATGGACAGAAAGTAACGGTTCCCACCATGTGTAGGAACACTGGCAGGACCCCACACATCAACATGCACATACTCAAGAATATCAGAACATTTAGAGGGATTGGGGGAAGGGGTTGGTTGAAAAGAAACACGAGTTTGCTTTCCAACGATGCAAGAGTCACACATAGTAACCTCAGACACTTTATCATTGCCAAAATAGTGATTGTTATGCAGAATGCTGAGGCCTTTATTACTAATGACCTAGTCTATTATGCCACATAATAGAATGATCACTTTGGACAGCATTAACAGAAGCAGATGATTCAGAATGACATACATACATATTTTGCATTCTTATGGCCTTAAAACATAGCAGATTACCCCTCATAATTTTCATGCAACCATTACCCCAACCACCATGAAACCCATCATCTTCTAAGATAGCACATGAAATCAGATTTTCACTCAAATTAGGAACATGCCGCACATTTTGCAAAGTTAACACATAACCAGTTTCAAACTTTAAGCAAACAGTTTCAATTCCATGAACTTGGCGTTTTGTGCCATCAGCCATAGTCACATTGCAATTATTCAACGATTCATAGTGGGAGAAAACATGTTTCATATGAGTCATATGATGTGAGCATGCAGAATCTAAAAGCCAATCATTTTCACCAAGAGATGATAGCACAGAATTCACACAAGCATGTTCACCAACCATAAACACATCACCAAGATTATTATCAGAAACATGATTAGCATGCTGATCATTAGAGTGCTTATTAGGCTTAGCACAGTTCTGAGCATAATGACCAGGTTCACCACAATTATAGCACTTACGACTGTTAACACGAGTTTTCGACTTACTCCTGCCCCTGCCCTTTTTCTTTTGAAAATTGTTTTGATGAGAACCATTTTGAGAAACATTTTGGTTAGAGGAGGAAGGCTTATTTGAAAATCGGTTTTGCTGCCTTCCTCTCACAAAGTTCACCTCACCAAAACTCTTATTGCTTTTGTTAACTCTTAAATCCAGTTCCTTACTCTTTAAACCATTTATAACAGTTTCAAGAGAAATATTATCCCTGCCATACTTAATAGCAGATTTCAAATCGTTGTAAGAATCAGGGATTGCATTTAACAAAATAATGGGAGTATAGTTATCAATACTTTTGTCTCCCGTCAGTTTAATATCCTGAACTAATCTGGTAAACTGATCTATGTTCTCATCAATATCTTTGGTTATATCCAATTAGAATCTAAAATACTTTTCGAGTAAAAACAATTTTGAGGGCAGAGAAGTTTCAGTGTACAACTCATCTAACTTTTCCCACAAACCTTTGGCAGAATCATGCATACCTACCTTTCTAATCACAGAGTCAGAAAGATTCAATATAATGGCAGAGTAAGCAAGTTCATCAAGTTCTATTTTCTTAGAAGCAGTAGTTTCAGCAGCATAAGATTCATCAATAGCCACATAGCATCTTTGTTGAATTAACACACCTTTCATTTTCTGTTTCCAAATAGAAAAATCACCCTTACCATCAAAATGAGCCATAGAATAGACAGACATGGCGGTCATACAAATTTCAGCACACAGCAAGATATTAGACCAATTTTTCACAATAGTCCCAAATTGGGACAGGTGCATATGCAACAAGGATAGGCAATCTTGGAGACCCTCCCTCACAGGATTCCAGGGCACTTGCGGTCCGGTCAAGTGAGGTCGAGAATCCAAGTTATACCACCCTTTAATATTTATATATATAAGTGAGCAGTTTATATATATATGCAGCGGAAGAATAATGTTCACACAGAAGCAAGAGTGGCACACAGACCACAACAGAACACACAGAGTGGCTCACATACCACGAATCACACACAGTGGCTCACAGACCACAGAATCTAAGCGATTACGTACCGCTGCCTGCCGTCTGAGAAAGACGGCCGTCACAACTT